TATATAGGCTTCAACGTCAGATAAAAATAACAAAATGTTATTGTTCTTTATATTACCTGACCATATAATATTCATAGCTTTATCATATATTTTACCAATAGTTAAATGATTTACATGATCTAATTTTTCTGTGTGATAGAAGTATACGTTCAGTCCTAAATAACCTGGACTAAGATTTCTGACTATAGCGTTGGCTATAAATCGTCCAAATTTTATTTGGTTTGATTTCGATTTTTATATTGTCTTAAGTAATACTAAAAATATTTTCAATGTAACTTTTTCTTGATGTTGCTTACATTGGAATTCTTTTACAAGAATACTTCCCTAAAAATGTTTGAAATACGTTGTAAGAAGGCTTATTTAATGAAATATTCATAGATACTATTACTTGACTTATCCTTATTAAAATCTTATTTCTTTGAATTTTGATTAATTGAAAATGTTTGAATTTTTTTCTGGATTTGATAATTTTTACGTCTAACATTGATTAGGGCTTATCTTTTTGATGTATTATATTGTGATGCATTATACTTTTTCGAATTTAAATTTAACCTCATATACTTTACAGCACGTAAAATACATATCTGTGGAAAAACTATCTGATCCATATTCATATAGATCACTTTTAAATAAAAATATACTTGTGGGTAATATCTTTTTCCATTAAAAAAATAATAATTAAGTAATACGGGCACAAATGACGACGAACAAAACACTCTGAATGGTATGACCAAAAATCGACTAAATGCGTATCATGTTGATAAAATCTCAATCGTTTAATAATGTATATTTAAAGTTCTGTTAAATAGAAACTAGATGTCCGTACGATTAGTCCGTTGAACTAGTATGCTTTGGTCCGTTGTAAACTGTGGTAATCAAACAGAACTGGGACAAGTTTGAACAAATTAGTGTAAAAAATTATCACTAAGAGTGGTACCTTTTTAACTCACATTTTCTGTTTTTATCTCATTTTATTAAATCTTCAGCAGTTCCTTTGACGAAGAAGAAATGTTTCTTCTGTTTGCTCCAAATATCTCGAATGAACTCCAAATTCACAGCCCAAGGACAAAATCAGATAATGGTAACCTTAGCACAAATGTGAATTATATGCAAAAACTCTCAAAAAATACCTGCTCAGTAAATAATATAGTTGATATCGAAACAGAAAGTGTAGTATACAATAAAATATCTGAACTTGATATTTTAAAAACATATTTTCCTGCACCATTTTTAATGAAATTACTGAAATAAGAAAAAAACATTTTTTTTTTTGCTGCTTTATTCTCTCAATATTCCTCTTAATTGTCATCTCTTATTTTCATCTCAATCATCTGTTGCCATCATTGCTACGATCATTTTTATAATTAATTATGGGCTGCTTATATAATACCACTCTGTAAATAATAATTAATACAATAAAAAAAAAAAAAAAATTATCAATTATAAAATCTCCAGGTTATGATATTATCATAAATGTTTGAATAAAAAATATCAAAAAAAAATTACATATATGTCTATTTTATTTAACTCATTACTGAACTATTTTTCAAACCGAATACATACTACACCCAATACAAAAGTATTTCTTTACGCTGACGACAGTGTTGTCTATTCAAGTTCTGGTGACATCTACTTGTTACCGAAAATATACAAAATAAAAATTGTTCGTGCAAACATTTTCAAGCGATAAATTTGTCGTACGCTGACTGGTCCAACCAGTGGTGTAGATATATTTTTCTTTCGAGAACCTTCTACCACCCACCTTTATGATTATGGTCGGACCGGAAAAGCCACTACATCGCCGAAATGCCTACCAATACGCCTGCAACTTTCAATGCGGTTTTTGTTATTCGACCAAATTGCGTACTCGACATTGTACTCGACTTGTAGTCAGTGGCGCACATGTGGGGGGGGGGATTAAGGGGTTGTATCCCCCCCGAAATTTTCTCCGATGTCTAGGTTAAAATTTACAAATTTTACAAATTTGAAATATGAAGAACTAGTATTAAATACGTAGTAGGATTAAAAAGTTCCCGGAATTTATCTATAGAAAAAAAACTATATTTTTTATCAAATATCTGATTATTGGAATTAAAAGTAGACATTATAAGCTATATATAGGTTTAGTTGTTAAAAGTACATTAGTCTCATGTGAGCCGTAATTGAGTCCATACGAAACTGTGTTTACACATTTTTACAAAATGTCACAATTTGAACAACGCGCTAACATTAAATTTTGTTTTAAACTTGGAAAAACTGCCGCAGAAACGCTCGAGTGCTTGAAAACAGTTAATGGTGATGAGCATTAAAGAAAACAGCCGTTTATGATTGGTTTAAACGGTTCAAAAATGGCCAAGAGTCACTTGAAGATGAAGAGCGGAGTGGCCGGCCGTCAACTTCAAAAAACGATGAAACAATCGAAAAAGTTAAAAACTAGGTGCAATCAGATCGTCGTTTACACATTCAAGATATGGTAAATGTATTAGGAATATCGTATGGTTCAGTTCAAAACATTTTAAAAGATGATTTAGGAATGCGGCGCGTTGTTCAAATTGCGACATTTTGAAAAAATGCGTAAACACAGTTTCGTATTATTTAAGTCAAAATATATTAAAGATTTGCATAATTTTGTTAATTGTAAAATGTGTTATATTTTAACCTTATAATAATAATAATTTTGGTTTCAGTGTTCAGTCACTTGCTCCACTCTGACAGCTGCATTCTCTTAGGCGAATTTCTGGCAAATTCAGCTATTATTTCACTTTCATCGAATTGCTCTTTTTTATTTACATTAGCCATAGCTAACCCATTCAGTCTGTTTTCCGACATGGTGTTTCTTAAAAAAATTTTTAAGCGATTAAATGCTGAAAACGTTCTTTCTGGAGTGAAAGAGGTAACTGGTAACGTGGAGAATAATTGTAAAAGTATTTTAATGTTAGGTCGAAGATTGGTGCGATGAGAGAGTGAATCAAGAGCAGAATTCGGTTTTGGAATAGTATTTTGACTCCATTGTTGCCTCCATATGATCAGGTCAGCTCTGATTGTAGATGAGGTATCATCATGAAGATCTTGGACATATATTTTAGCAGCTTTTATAATATTTTTATCGTCATATATATACAAATTGGCCGGAATAAGTCCTTCAAGTGGCATAACATCAATAAGTCTTTGATTAAAACGAGCATTGATTCTATTAAATAGTCAAGATACATTATACATATAAACACGGCCCATGGGGGAGGCTATAGCCCCCTTAGTCCCCCCCCTTGGCTACGCCACTGTTTGGCAATATAAGTAATTCCACGAAGATGTTGCAGTGTATCGTCATCTTGAAACGTATTTTATTTTGTGCGATTAAAGTGTGTAGCCACTTTAATCTGTAATCGACAATCGTTATCGTCGCTTTCATGTATTGTTTGTGTGATCATGTGTTATGTGGCCATTCATAATAAGCTCATGTGGTGCAATTAGTTGTTGTGATGAGTTATTTTTCCCTAAAGTATATCAATATTTAAAAATTGGCGCTACATTGCCCGTCACAGTTGCCAGCGTAAAACGGAGCTTTTCAACATTGAAACGTTTGAAATCATATTTGAAGAATTCTATGGGGGAAAATCGACTAAATGGATTGGCTTATCAAAGTATTCATAGAGAAATACCAATAGATAGTAGTGAGGTGGTCAACATTTTTTCGGAAAAAAATAGAAAATTAATGTTTTAAAAAAATATATCTATGTAAAATAAATAAATAATTATATTATTACATTTTTTTTTTTTTTATATGGCTTATTAGTAAATATAGTTATTTTAGATTTTAATACATATTTTATTATGACATGTCAATAAAAAAAATATTACAAGTAAAAATTAGTAATTTATTAAAATGTACGATATGTTTTTTTATGTTCAGGTGTCACGCCATCCAATATGATAATTTAAAAATTAAAACCCCCCCGAAGTTCAGGTCTAAGTACGCCACTGGCAGTAATATTGACATTTTGTCGACCCAAAACTCACCCCTCTCTAGAAATTAATTGTGATAACATTTCCCAGTCACCAATTATAGAATATCTAGGAATTATCCTAGATAAAAAATTAACTTTGAATCCACATACTTCTTCGAAACTACAACAAAAATACCAAATATTTTATATACTTTACCTCTTAATCAATCGTCAATCCGTGTTAAATCGGAAATGTTTCCTGCTTTTTTACAAACAAATTATACGGCCCTTAGAACCTACTCTATACTGTCCCCATCTGGAGTTACTGTACCAAACCCACATAAATTAAATTTAAGTTTTCCAGTCTAAAAATTCTACGAAAAAAAAACTATTTCAAATGTGCCATGGTTCGTCAGAAACGAAGTCCTTCACACAGACACTTCTCACAAAATATATAAAAAATAATTAAGACTTATAATAAATTAAAAATAATTAAAATACATATACATAATCTTTCTATCAACATTTTTGACCGACGGAAACATGCAAAAATGTGCAATATTTCAAACTAAGTAACTAGCCTACTCCGTCGGCTAAAGGGTGGATGTTGCCATTATATTCTTGTTAAAAAAAAAAAAAAAATAAAAAAATAAATATGTGTCTAATATTCTATTATATGCATCATTTAAGTTTACATAAAAAAAAAAATTATCAATAAGGTAGATGGCTTTGTCGGAAATCTTTAAATAATAAAAAAATGAATGAATAAAAATAAAACGCGAATTTTTATATCAATTTACTAGATTTTATGTTAAGTCAAGAAAATAAGTAAATGCTTGAAGCGCGAACTTGCTCATGACTAATTTATTTCAATTCCTTTTAATGATTAAATTTTAAAATTAAGCTACTACATAAGCTTAAACTTATTAATTAAGCTAACTTTAAAAAAATAGTCTCTACTCCATAATCTATATATATATATATATATATATACATATAATTGGAGCCAAAAATGTAAAACAATTCGTCAATTGAAAACGGCTGATGTATTTTATACAGTTGCTAAACCTTTAACTATATTATAGTAAATATTGATCCCATTCAAAAACGTTTTTTCATTTAAATATTCATCGTGGTCGTGTAAAAGTACTGGTGTATATTGCATTGGAGAAAATCCAAGTGCAGGAATGCCGACCTGAAAAACCAAATTGATTATTATGAATTGTATTTAAACTTCGTAATATAATATTTATAACAATATATCAATGCCAAATTATAATAATTTACTTATAGTCAGGGCTTGCAAATTTTATAATAACGTTATACTTGATAAAAAACGATTGCAATTTGTAAACGTAATTATAACGGAAAACAATAAACATAAATAAATAACACAAAACATAACGTAACATTTAACAAAATATATGATATATCCTTAAACAAAACATAACGAAAAACGGTATATATTGTATTCCATTAAACGAAATAATTAATTTCCAATTATTTAATAATACTTAGTAGTATTCAATTATTTATTCAATCCATGAATTAATTTTATTCCGTATCCGGCCTATCCGGGAGAACCCGTATTAGATATTATTTTAAAATTTAATAAGAAGGTATTAAAAGAATAATTTAATTACCAATAGCTAATAATAGTGATACTCTGATAATATTGTACTGTACTATATGTACTACGGTCAAAATTTATACCCTTCAAGTTATTCAACTATTGTGTTCGGTGTTCATTTTGCTTAGATTTGTTCAGTCGTCACTCGTCAGTGTTTGTTTAATTGTTGTCAAATGTTTAATATTTATATTTTATACTATTATACTTATAGCCGTTAAGACGTTCATACGTTTTTTTTATATTAGTTAATTCATAGTTGAAATTCAAAATTTTAAAATAATAATCATGTTTTTTTTTTATACTTATTATTATTTTGTTATAATGTCCTTAGAGCCTAGACAATTTATTAAATTTAATAATACATTATTATTTATTACTCTTAAGATTAATTATTATCATACTGTTTTATCATTTATTTTGTTTCCATTTCTTTACAAACTACTTATGTATTTTAATTTAATCTGTATCACTGTACCACTGTACCCTATATTTTGTAAGTAATATGTAATTTGGTTATCTAACCCATTTAATTAAATAAATAAAATAAAATAAATAAAATTATACAATACCTACTTAAAACTCCGAATAGGAAAATTATGTCCCCATAAAAAGGTCATAGTCACTTTTAAATTGCGGCCTGTATACTTTTAAAACAGGTATCTAAATGCTTTTGAATTTTAAATAACGATAAATGCAAAAATTGTATAACGTTTTAATTAATGAATAACGATAAACGTAAAAATTGTATAACGTTTTAATTCTGAATAACGATAAACACAAAAATTGAAAAACGTTTAAATTTTGAATAACGATAAACTCAAAAATTGTATAACGTTTTGATTGTAAATAACGTAAAACAAAATTTTTTTTCAAACGCAAGCCCTGCTTATAGCTACTTTCCAACGACAAAAAACTAGACTAAGTGGAGAATTTTTTTTAACTTCTCTCTAAATCAATATTTTTAGTTAAGTATTACGAAATGTATGCTGCATCCTAAGTAATTTTTGATTAAACACTTGCACCAAATGACTGTGATAGAAATACAGAATATATAACTCAATAATTACTGATTCACGAGTAAAATTAAATTTGAATTTTCAGTTAAACTTATCTTACTTATAAACATAATTAAAATTTGATCCCTGGTTTCTATTATTAATTCAAAATGTATTTAAAGCATATCTTCGATAATATGATCAGGAGCCTTATTTCAATATTTGTTTAATTAGTGCATAATGACCAGTCCAACAAGAATAAAATATTTCATACTATCAAAAAAAAAGTCCCTTGCTTAGTCATCTAACTGATTACTGTTTAATAATTTATACTAAGTAAACTACATCCACTTTTGTTATTGTATGTTATATAAAAAAAAAAGCTGAAGAACTTGCAAAAAAAATGGGTATAGAAAATTTTATTGCATCAGAAGGATGGTTTCATCGCTGGAAGAAATTTGAAAATATTGTATACAAACGAACGTACGGGGAACAAAAAGACACTGTTCTTGGCAGCAGAAAATTGGATAAAAACTGAATGCCCAAAAATTATTTTAGAATATACGCCCGACAATTTTTATAATGCTGATGAAACTGGATTATTTTATCGTGCCTTGCCTGAGCATACGTATTAATTCAAAAATGAAAACGCAAAAGGTTGTCCTATGTTGTGCAAGTATATCAGGTAAAAAACAAAAACTTTTGGTTATAGGGAAACGTAAAAATCCTTGTTGTTTTAAATCAGTAAAATGTTTACCAGCTGTTTATTATGCCAACACAAATTTTTGGATGACATCAGTTATTTTTAATGAGTGGTTAATAAAACGTAGGTTTTATTATTGTTTATAACTTTCGTTTAATGTTATCAATCAGATTATGTTATCAGTTATGTCCCGTACCAAAGTGAAATTTGTTTTCTGATATAAATCATTACTTATAAACGGTTTAATATAAAAAGTAAATATTAAAATACAGTTAATAGGTATAATTTAAAATTTAAATTTACTTTAGCTATTAAGTTTAAATAATAGGTGAACGCATAATGCAAGTGTACTTATTATGTATTTATGTTTATAAGCATAAATAAAATAGGTACGTTAATAATTAATAATTACATAACGATTGGTATAATTACTAATCGTATATATCTGGTATCGCCTGCTGCCGGACAAATTGATGGTTTCAGTTTTAAGCCCCTGAAAAAAAATATACACTTGTAAATAAATAAAATACATTTAAAATTATTTAGCTTATAAACATATAATAATTTTGTTTATGATTATGTAATTAAAATGTACGGATTTTATTTTAATATAATTTATCTACTCATTCATATTTTATTACTCAATAAAGTTTAAATACATTTTTTTTTTACTTTTAGGAAATAAAATACTGTTAGGCAAATACATAAATATTGTTACATAATGTAACTAGAAGCAAGAAAAAACAAAAAAATTCCGGATAACCTTTATGAAGCCCTAGATAAATACATTTATTTACTAATAAATACGACCTCAAAAAAATTATATTTTTCCTTAAATTTATCAATATGTATATAATCAATGTCTATATAACTCCATTTAATAACATTGTAGTTGAATCTGTACCATGAAAAAAAAATTAACTAATTTATTATACGATTTTCATATCGTATAATTAACTAGTTCATTATACGATTTTCATATCGTATTTTGTTGATGCAAATAATTTACAGAAACATATTTACAAATAAATATAAAGAAAAATGTTGAGTGTTAAAATCAAGATTATTTAATCAGATAATGAATTATCATTCTTAAGTCAAATTGTAGTGAAGTATTATTTTGCTCACAATTTATCGCATTCACTTTTGAATTTTAACCACCAAAAGTTTGAATCATCTAATTTGGTAGGTGTGGTCTGTTCATTTTTTTTAAAAGTTTCTAGTTGTACTCCTTTACCAGCCTCGTGACACCATTTAGTTATGGTACTCTCTAAAGCATGGTAATCAGCATCTACAGCCAGTCGAACATCAAAACCAGCAATTAACTCTGGTGGTACAACATTTAACTGACATCCACCATTTAATATTGTCATATTTACAGATGTTACTAGTCCAATATCTACCCCTTGAGATAATTTGTTTTTCTCCAATGTTCTCCATTTCAATATCTTATTAACAACGTACATCAATTTTTCAGCAGCTGTATTATCGTGAAGTAGCGAAGCATGACCTGGAGTACCGGCGCTTCGAATATAAAATTCTGTGAATATTTAAAAAAAAAATATTAAAATAAGTAAAAAATGTCCATCTATTCGAGAATTTTAAACCAGAATATCGGAAAGCTACCTTATCTTCTACTTTGGAAATAATTGTTCAGTGGATGCTTATACAATAATCGTAATGCACTATTATGTAACAAAGAGGAAACTGAGATTTTGCACATTAAAAAAATTGTTGACTTATTTGATAATATACTGAATAAATTAGATATAAAATATTATATTGTGTCGAACGCTTTTATAATTTTCTATAATAAATTACGTTATTACCGTACACGGTAGATACGATAGAATATAACCATGTATCTTAGGTATGTTTTAATTTAAAAATAGTTGGAAGATAAATTATAAATAATCTACAGCAAGAACTTCAATGCTCAAGTTAGAGAATTATTTAATACATGTTATTTTTAAATAAAAACTTTTTTAGGTGTAGTATCACATTTTCATTATTATGTCTTGTATAAAGTATAATAATAACAACATTTAATAGTAATAACTAATAGCATAGAGTAATTATAACTGCATAGTGATTAGTGTAAAAATTATTACTAACGCCAAATAGTTCTTTCGACATAAAACAAAGGAATAACATCGTCTTCACTCGCCAATCCTTCATCTAAAGCAAATCCAATATTTAAAATACGAAATTCATTCGTCTTAACGAAATGAGCCATGCCTAGTGCTCCTCCAATTTCTTCATCTAAAAAATAACAACAAATGATTTAGTTATAATATAAGAGTTACGATTGATTTTTTATTTAAAAAAAAAAAAATTATAAAATTTGTACCAGGCATAAATGATATATGTATAGTCCTATCAAAGGTTAATTTTTCATTTATATATCTTCTTATAGTTTCTAAATACTGTATGCCGACGCATTTCATATCTTGTGCTCCTCTGCCATAAATATTCCCTTTTTCATCTTTGTAGGCCGAAAATGGATCATACGTCCATTTTTCCTAAAAAAATTTGAACACATTAATACTTCAATAAATAATATTATAAGTACCTAACATACTGGATAAACTGGCACAACATCCATATGAGAAGTAAGTAAAAGAGTTGGTAATTCCGGCTTTTGTCCCGTAAGTGTTATAATCACAACTGGTTTTTTTGGTGCCATATAATGAACTGTTGATGGTAATCCCATACTTTCTGCATAACTTTGTAGAAAATTGACACATTCACCTGCTCGAAATTTTATATAAATCAACGACAGTATTGAATCGATTCAGAAGTATTCACTACACACTTATATATTAAATCATATAATGTATGATTCTATAATAATATAAATAGTTTTAAGTTTTTGGATTCCGACGATACATGATCCGGATAAACACGTTTTGGGATTTATATATTCTACCCATTTATTTTACGGACTTATGATTATATTAAGAATGTACAACCTTCAATCGAATATTTAACGGCTAATTTGAAAATCTGGTAAAAAAGTGCTAATTCCACTTTGGCGAAATCAAGTTATAAAATCGTCTATTAAAAAAATTGTTATATTTTTCCTATTATCCATATTTTAAAATATGAAGAATGCCCTCGTTCTACGTGTACAAAAGGCCAATATATTAGTATAAGGCACGAATTAAGATCTATCTTAATTCGTGATATGTATTAGGTTTATAGATGTCAGTGAATTTTTCTTTTTATATCTCATCTCTAAATAAAGAGTAATTAATTATTTATCAATTGATTTTCTGATCAACGTTACGTTCATATCAATATTGCTTTGCACATTTTGTCTTGGAAAGGAAATAACAGAGGTTAAAAACATTTTTGCATTTTTTTTTGTAACTCATTAAATGTTTTATAAAACCTTCAAATTGAAACTTAATATGGCAATATATTTTTTAACCTTGAAATGTGTTTTTTATGCTTTTTAATTTTTCATATATCAGTTGATACGAAAATGAATCGTCGAGAAAGCTTATTCGATAGAAGTTAAATACTCAAAGTCAAAATATAAAAATCCGGTTTTTAATTATCAGTAATATGCTTGATTTTAAATATAATTATAACGTAAGAATAAATGTAATATAAATATGAATAAATGAAAAATATTACTAACTGTAATCGACATCCGGATGTACGGTGGGTATTTGTAAGTATTTTCTGAAATTGGTAACTGCTATGTCTTCTTTATTTACTGAAAACATTTTTTTTTTTTTTTGGTTTTAAAGTTAATATAATAAAATATAACTAAATAATATAGTTTTGCTTTAAATTTTCAATTGCTTATCGAACTCTTTATGTTATTGAATATTTATTTCGTAAATAGTTATCAGCTATAAGTATTATTGAGTATTTTAAAATGATATATTTACTCTATCATAAAATATAATTAACAACAGTATTGATAAAATATTTATACCCGTGTACTCTGTAGTATAAACTTTAATTATAATGTTATCAATTTGTTACTATTAAACAAACAAAAAAACTTGTTAAAAGGGAATGACGTAACATATTTTATATTTTTTTATTTATTTATTTTTATTGAAAATAACTGCATCGGCGGCTGGGGCCATTGGCTTTACAAAGATTATTTACAAGGGTGTTTTAAATTATTAAAAATACATTACGGATAAATATACAATATAAGTTATTACTATTCTAAATATTTTTGTGTAGTTCTGTGTCCCTAAGGAATTTGAAAACATTTATAATACCGGTATTTAGATTTTCCGCTAAATAGTGGTTCAATTTGTATTTCAGATGTTGTGGCTCGTACTTCCTGCATTCAGTTAGAATGTTTTTGACTGTCAGAGGATAGTTGCAAGTTGGGCATGTAGGTGGAACTTCTTTCTTCATCAAGAAAATATGCGTTATTCTGGTATGTCCTATTCTGAGCCTGTTTATGACCACTTATTTTCTAGTGAATATATTGATAGGCCATGGAAGGATGTGATTTTTAATTTGTCTTGATTTGGTGTTAGATATTTCCCATTCGTTTTACAATATTCTGAGGATTTTTTGTTTTATTTTCAGTTTTATATCAGATATTGCATATAATTGGCAATAAATTGCATTTTCTGACGTAATGACTTCTTCGGCAAGTTTATCGACTTTCATTTTCGGTGTTTTTTGTGTGGTTTGGTATCCACATTATTTTTATATTTAAGTTTTTTTTTTGTAGTTCGTATTTTTGTTTCTAGATTTTCCTGGTAGTATCATTTGGTCTATAAAAATTTTGGATACTCTTAAGAGTACTGAATCACTAAAAATTATAACTTTTTTAATGTTTTTTTTTTTTTTTATATATAAGGTTAAGGGCTTGAACTATAGCTTGTGCTTCAGCGGTGTATACAGAACAGTCACTGGGCAATCTTATTAATATTTCTGTGTCTTAACATATCACTGTTGCATCAACTCCTTTATCAGATTTGGAACCATCTGTGAAATGTCTGTGTAATTATCATATTTTTCACTTATTTGCAAAAAGTTTTATCTATTTATGTGTGATAATTAACAGTTTTTTTTGTAATATGTTTATTTCTGAATTGATGTTTGTTTCGGATATCGAAGGAGAGACTAAGGAGTTTTCTTTATTTATTATTCCAACGTGAGAGAATTTTTTTTTTAATACGTTCTCTAATATGTTTTCCATTATTTTTAGATTTGTAATAGTTACATGGCGAGGGAGGTATGGTGCATAGTATGTATAATGTATTATTGGTTGATTACCTTCCTCCATATTTAAGGAAGGGCTCTCGGAGTTACAAAAGTTTGAGAGCCGATCAGAGCAACTGGATAGTCTGGCAAGCCAAATAATATAGCACTTGTATTGTAGCAGTTATTCGAATGTCGATGAGCTATACACTTACAACTACCGTAAGAGTGTAATGAGTTTGAAAAACTGATGAGAAATTGGGCCCCGGTGGTTTTTACGAAGTTGAGGAAGTTGAGGAAGTCGAGGGCTGATGGTGGAAAGACCTAGTCTCATATAGTCTTCCGGCGACTATAAAATAACTGACTAACGACCTCAGTTAAATCAATAATATAATCGATAATGTTTAATTCAATAACGCAAATCAAAATACTGCACGTATTTATCGGGTCTAAATAATATAAAAACACAAACTAAAATGTATGCTTTTTATGACAGTTATGGCAATAATATGATTTTATTAAAATTAATTTTTTTTAATTTTTTTCTTTTCCTTTGGAGATTTCATATCACCCTTATACTGCCTCCATTGTCACCCTTGGATGACATGTCACCCCAGTTGAGAACCACTGGTCTTGGACAAAATGTGGAACGAGAATGACATGGCAATTGCCGCATCTGCTTGTGTAGTTTTAAGTTTAGAAGCAAAAATGGCTTCCAAAAAAGGATATTGGGTTCGTCCTAGTTTCTTAGCAAAGCAAAAATATAGTTGCAATGATTTAATGACTAATCTTAAACATGATGACATTGGTCTATCTTGAGAATTGAGGTATGAGTAATGAGTATAAAATTTACAAATTAAAATAATATTTTATCAATAGAATTTATTATAATTTGAATCATTTTTAAATATTTTGTTATGTAAGTGTAATGGCCGAAGCAAAACTGAACGAAAACCAAATAAATAAATAAAATATGATGCATTTACTAAATGTTTATCGACAACATTTGACCGGTATGGAAGTGTTAATTCATTGTCAGCGACAATGTTTATAAACTTTGTCGAATTTTTTCCACGTCGGATGGAAAACAAAAATTTGTCGATAACAATGTCGCGGACAAAATTGTCGGTGACAAATTTTAGGAACAGTTCTAATTTTGGTCGTCAACATTGTCGATAACACATGTTTACGACAAAAGTTTCTTAGTCTGGACGTGGCTTTAAGTTTAAAAAATAAAAAAAAAATGTTATTATTATATATATAATATTATTATATTATTATTATTATTTATTATTATTATATTTTATTCTTAAATAAAATTAACAAGATTCTCAAAAATCTATAAATATGCAATTATATGCATTATGTTCAAAATATGCAAAAATATAGAAAATTAAAATGGTTATATTTAACTGATAATAAGCCAAATCGTAGACATATTGAAAACCAATAAATTTGGACTTGAGGAAAAAAACATGCAAATGCTTATAAATCCTAGCCCAAATAATAACCAAATGAAAAATTATATTATTTTATTACTGCATACTTCTAGATAGGTACTTAACACATTAATTTACGTTAGTATGTTTTTACTCGCTCCAAATTTGGAAAAATTCTCTCCAAGCTTGGAGAGCTACGTTCCAACGTGGTAGACAATGGCAGTTAAGGTTGCACTAGGGTTGGCATAAATTTATAAGGCGAAACCGGGACAAAACAATCACATTATTAAATAATATACTTTTTATATCACTTTTAATATATTGAGCATACCATTAATAACCGGAAACATAATATTTAATAATATTTATGAAAATAAAATATATTATGTTATATATTTATATGTGTAAATTACAATTTATGTTTTTATTATATATTGTTGATCGATTATGATTAAAAATGTACTTTGTGATAAATTCATCGAAATTAAAAATTAAACAATTCTACATTTCTTCTAAACGTCTAAGTCAGGACATACAGACTACGGAAAACATTTTTCGGGACACCGGGACACGAAGTCCAAAACTGGTGACAATTTCGGTTTTCAGGGAGTATGGTAACCCTATTTGTCACCAATTGTCACCAAATGTTTCAGGTCCACCATTTATATTGTAATCTCCATTTCCTGTTTTTTATTTAAACCTTTTCACTTTAGTAAAAGTAAAATGTTTATTCCGACCAAAATGCTCCACACAAACTGAGAGTAAAAAAATGCTAATTATGAAAAAAAAATAGCTCTTAAAAGCTTTTAAAATCGTGATATCATTTAATAGCCAAGTTTTTTAAGTTTTAGATAAAAATAGACTACTAATAATTCAACTCAGCTTGGTACTTTGAAAAAGTATAGATTATAAAAATATTATGTAGGTATTGGTACATCGCTAAAGTTGAATTAAGTCTTATGTTTCGTTTTAACCCTTATTATTTTTATTTTCAATAAACAATAATCAGTAATATGCTTGATTTTAAATATAATTATAACGTAAGTATAAATGTAATATAAATATGAATAAATGAAAAATATTAGGAACTGTAATCGAAATTTGAATTTACGTTGGGTATTTATAAGTATTTTCTGAAATCGGTAACAGCTTTATCTTCTTTAATTACTGAATATCATATTCTGATAATTTAATTTAATATAATACAATACAAATAAATTATGTATTTCTATTTTGTATTTCCAATTGATTATTGAACTGTTTACATCATAATTATCAGCTATAAATAATATTGAATATTTTAAAATAAAATATTTATTGTATATTAAAATAAGATAAGAAATAAATATAAAAATATTATACTTCCTTAGTATTTACAAAAGTTTGTTGACGCTGAGCCTCACTTACCCCACCTGACGATCCGCCACTGCACAAATTACGATGTTTTATGTTTTGTAGAAGTTAGGTAACGGATATATTGCTGTTTAGGGCAGAATCTAGTAAACATTCTTGTACGTTATTGAATTTAAAAATTAATTATCAACTGCAAAGCTGTTAGACTTTCTTATACATTTTTTTTTTTTATCCTAATACTGTAATTATATCCTAGTGAGTTGTTACACGTTGTATTGCCGATGACTTTATGTTAAGGAATTATTTTTTTTTTTTATATATATACTAAGGTTTGATTACATACATAATGCATACATAATCATGCACTTATTCTACTATGATAGCAAAAATATAATTGCATTTGAACATAATTCATGGATCTAAATATCCAAAATATTTTACAAATATTATTTATTTTTTGAAACAATCATAAATTTAACGAATCTAATTAGTAATTTTGTTTAGGTAAATGTGATGTAAATTATTATTGACGAATGTATTCTAATCTTCTGGTAAGTTAACAGTCATCCGTATTTAGAGTAAAGGATCAATGTAAACTGAAGCAACGAATTGAAATTTCATCATATATACAACTAAAAGTAAACATTTTTGTTGTATGTTTATATAAAAAAATGTATTAATTTTTAATTTAATTTCTCTTTTTTTTTAAATTTTTTTTTTAGATTTTTTTATAAAAACTCATACATGTCTTTGCATGTAGATACATTTTATTCGGAAAACGCAAACATTAAATTTCAAATTCGATTCAAGTTGTACAACTTAAAATGTATTGGTTACTAAAGTACCATTAAATTAATGATAAGTGAAGCCACTCAACTTATTTTTCTTTCTTTTTAAGTTTTCTCTCGTGAAACTCTTGATGAATACTTTTTTATGCAATGATCATAAATACATAGATGATTTTCAATTATTAAGACAAATTGGATGTTGAAATCAGGATGGTCTTTCAAAGTTGGAATGGAAATGGTAAATCGTAAGTTATATAAAACAATTAATAATAAAAGAAATATAGATACTATACATATGGTGTATTTTTAATGTATATTAATAAATATATATTTAATAGATTGTTTTATTTTATAAACTATCTATTTGTCAAATTACCTAAAAAAAAACTGCTTTCTTACTTATTATTATAATTATTTAATATATTTTTGTATTTTTCGACAATTCTATGTAACAAATGACAAAAAGCACACACGCTATGGTTTTGGGCGACAAGCAATATCAATATTACTCATGATCTGACATGTCGGATTAGTGATTTTCCGTTATAATTGTAAACAACATTTTGCGAGTGACATATTACTAACATGTCACTTATCATATCACGTGTTATGTTACTTTGATGGGTGCTGCACCTAACATTACTTAATTTCTATATTGGAAAAAAATTCTTACACCTACAGTTGAACGGATTTTCGCAACAGACTAATTAGACAGGTTAGACATAATTAGTCAATGGTTTCAGCGTTTTTAACAGTTTAAATTTTATGTAGTGAAGATTAAATAATACGCCCAAAATATCGAGATTATAGTAGGAGTGGTTCGGTTCTCCCGGATTACTTCTCCCACCACATTAATGTGCAAGAAAGACGTAAGTTTACGACGTGACACGTTGTTCATTCGTAAAAGGCGCCAAATGTTCATTTCAACCGATTACGACTGTATTTTGAATGTCTTTGACGGTTGCCTATGTTAATTATTTTTACACGCAATATCGATTTGATTTTTTATCCTCCGTTAATCGTTAATACATTTCCTTTTCGAAGAAAGCACATCGTATTCATTTGGCAACGTTTGTAAATATTAATTTTATTATTTATTTTCCCATCGACCGGTAACCGAGAAAGAAGTACACACCACTGCACATGCACGCACACCCGATCGTCGTCTATGGGTAAAATTCAGTGGACAATTTTCATGTGGACCGAACTTGATTAAACTATACTATTTCAACGGCGTCCAAAGTATATTAATAATATTATCATTATCATCCGCACTCAAACATACAAATATATGAACACACCCAAACGTACTTACGCGCGATAATCATAACAATAAATGATGTTGGTGGCGCGCCGTGCGAAGTGATCCGCGACAAGAAGCGCGACAGCGGTGGCAGGCCCATTCTCCTAATCTTGTTATTGATCGTTTATTGTTGCGCGTTTGTTGTGACCACCACCGCTCCTAGCAACGAAAGAGAAGCCGTAGTCATAGTCACCATGAACGCCTTTTTCCATCAACAATTCAGGTGAACGATAAAATTAACAAATAAGCATATATAAATACAGTTAAAATGCTTACTTTGTACGCATTTGACCGGTACGTTGTATATATATTGCTGTAATAAACAAAAACGAAATCGACGTTCGATTTCATTTTTTGTATGTACAATATTGTTACACTAAACCAATATATAGTAACCGTAGCGTTTGTGTGTGTGCTTGTGTGTGTGTGCGTGTGTATGTATTTACAGGCGTACTCTGACGTTCCGTCCGCATCAAGACTTATGAAACACGTATTCTGCGAGCCGTCGAAAAATTGAACAGTAAGTTTTTATTCATTTGTAATGAACGTACTTGATTATGACGTGTGCGCGTTTTCCGATAACGGCCAATATATGGCGGCTGCTCTGTCAAATCGTTTTATTATAAAAAAACACCCGTTCACCGGTTTGCACAATACTGCTGCGGCCGTTCATGCCATTGATTGTCTACAGTGGAATGTTACATCAGATCTTGTACTGTGTACTCAACTCGGAAAAGGCGTGTTACAAGTGTATGACATGTGTTCCAAAAATTGGAAATGTACACTTACATCTGGATACTTCAAGTTTATCGCTGCTCAATGGATAGGTCGTGGGAAAATTTTGCTGACTCTAGAATTTCATGTGGCCCTAGGCATATTTGATATATTTACAAAGTCAATTATGTACATTGAAGTTCCAAAGCCCATTTGGCCTTGTGTATTATTTGATAATGATGGAACACATATGTTTGTTGTTTCCAAATTAAATGGCTATGAAAAATTATTGATGTTACGTTCAAAAAATTTGGATAGAATAATTTATATTCAAGATATAGTAGGAACATGTGATGGATTAAATAAATCGCCAGATAATCGGTTTCTATGCGTTTTCAATAAACAAAAATTAGCTATATTTAATTTTCTCTCTGGTAATATTATTGGTTCGGTTGAAAATCTATACTTAAATACTGTGAGCTGGGCACCTAATGGTGAATATTTAGCTTTGGGATGTTCACTAGGTAAAATTGTTGTATTAGCTTCTTCTAATGAGTTTAATGTAGAAATTAAGTTGTGTCGTTATTCTGAAAACAAAGACTATAATTTTTTTATGGAATGTAATCAAGTATTGATCAGAACAAAACCTTCAGAAAACTTTATCAATAATGTTCCAACAAAAATAGCTTCCATTATGTGGAGTTTTGATTCTAACTATTTAAGTACTTATGAAGTAGATTCAACATTTCTTTGTATTTGGAAGAATTATAAATTGATATGTGCAGTAGAATTTTCTTCAACAATAAAACATATGCAGTGGTGTCAATCAGAAAACAAACTTTCAGTAGTTTTTGGTACAAATTTAATTTTTTTTTGGTCTTCAAAGCATATTCCTAAATTTCTAAAGTCACCAAAATTTGTTGATGGAACATGTTTATTAATTTCTAATGTATCTTGGTCATTTAATAACAGAGATATGATTTTAACTGACGGAAAAAAATGTTTATTATTTACCATTTGATAAAGCAATGTAATAATTAATATGTTAATTATATTACTTATACTTAATTTTACTAATAATAATATATAGTATAATTTCAAATTTGTATTTGTGTGTAAAAAAATTAAATTTTTATATTTTTATTTTATTTTTTAGCCTTTTAAATTTAATCATTTTGTATTTAAGTTTTTTTTTAATAATTAAGTAAGAATTTTATGGTAATAATTTATTTATACTTATGGTAATGTAATATTTCTCTTTTGTTCATACATATATAAGTTTATATATAAAAATCAATGAAATTTTTAGTTTAATTAATAATATTCATCTTGTAATTATTATTTAAATATATTTTTTTCTATAAAAATAGTTAATTATGGTTATTAAAATTTATTTTTGAATATAAATGTCTCATTTTTTTTTTTTTTTTTTTTAAGAGCATAGAATACCTATAGTTCAATTTGTATTTTTACTTGTTAAATTATAAATATTTTACCATAGTATATAATTTAAAACAATTTTATAACAGTTGTATCTATCAAATTTAAATTCATTATATTTTTTATGAACTATGAATGTATGAATGTTATTATGAAAATAATAATAAAAAGTTATTAATGTTTTTAATATAAGATTTTAATTGACTATTAATTATAAGAATTTATTTATAATATGAAATAAATTAAATTAGTTAAAATATTTTATATTCACGTTTATTTTATTAATTATTTTTTATTGTAAATAAAAGTTTAAAAAAAAAAAATCTTATAAAAATTATGAAACTAAATATGGGTTTAGGTAATTTCATGGCGACTTCAGTAAGAAGCGGAATCAAATTAGAAGGTTCAGCAGGTACTGGCTCCCAACTTAGTACCATAACTGTGGTAACTGCTGGTGGAGTTGGTCAAACACTTGTTGTACAGCCAGTTCAACAAACTTCAGTTGTACGTACCTCAATTGACCCGGTATTTTATTATTTATTTTAATATTTTTTGTGGATACTAAATGTTTGAACATTTTTTATTCTTAGAATGTCAATAGTAATAGGCAATTAGAAAATGCCATATTGTGTGGTACAAGTCCGGTTCATGATGACGGATCTGATAAATCAATGGATGATGATGAACATCACATTGATCATAAAGATCGAAGTGCTTCTACTGTTACTGTTGATAATAGTCATTATATTGTGGCAGCATCAGGTGAATTAAAACATTTACTTTTTCATTGTAATATATATATATATATATATATATATATATATATGATAAAACTATTAATGAAAAATGAAGGATTTTTTTTATGTAAACAAATTTTTCTTTAAACCTAACATTCCTTAATATTGCATAATAATAATAGCCAATACTTAAAGATGTTTGTATGCTAAAAATGTTTTTCTTGTGTACCTTAATAGTCCTTCGTTTTTCATTCAGGGAGCACATTTTTTATATTATATAGTAATTATAAATTACATGCTTACAATTAAGAAGGGACTCAAGGACGATCTTATACCTCCCTTACACCAGTACCAACATTGGGTAAGACTTGTAAAGTACTTCATTTAAACTTGCTAATTCATACATTACATATATTCTGCTTAAAATACTGTGTATTGACTGCTGTACAAATATCTAGAGGTGTCTTCTATAATGTACTAGATTAATTTAAATTTTACATTAGTGTTTAGAGTGTTTTCTTAAACATTTTGTTCTTAGCTTAATTTTTTAAGCATATTTTATACATTTTATTTTGATAAGTATTATATATTAAGCTATATAGATATAATATAATAGCTATAATTATAATTTGTTTAGTTCCTGAAGCAGATGGTGTTGGTTCTGATGATGTTGGTCATTCTACCTATGTACAATATGTCGAAGGAACTGGCGAGCAAGCAATTTTTACTAATGGCCAAATGTAAATTGAATATTTATTATTATTATTATTAATTATTAATATAAATAATTTTTTACAGGGCATATCCAGTTTATACTGTGGGTGAGACTGGAACGATGTATCAGACTGGTCAAACCCATTATTATACTCCAAGCACAAATTCTTACTCTCAAGTAAATAAATAATTACTTATATGTTTATTGTACTAATGATTAAGACGATTAAGGTAGTTAAAAAAGTTTCAACCAAACTTTATCAAAATATGTGTACTTGATTTTATAAATATAAAATAATGTATAATACTTAATAAATAATGAGTTCATCAACAATTTTAATATAGTTTATTAAGTTTTAAAATAGCTTAGAATGAATAAAATATAATCTCTAAGTATTATATTGAGGCTAAAGTTTAAATGATCTCCAGATAAAGGTTGAATTTAACTTTTTGGATTATTCTAATCATTCTTTTAATTATTATAATAAATTAAAATTAATGTGTTCAAAATGTTTAAGGTTACAAATACTTTAGGCCAACCAACATGCCAAGCTCAAATTATTGGTAATGCTGCATATATTATTCAACAGAATGTTGACAATGATCATACTATTATTGCTACCACCCAAAGAGAGAGCCCAAATTCTGCTATATCCTCGGTATAATAGTTATTATATATTGTATATATAATAGTTACAATAAAAATATACCTGACTCAATATTTTTATATATTTAAATTATTGCATTTGATTTATTGAAATTGTAAACATAATCTTATTTATTATTCATTTTTAGGACGTGTCTTATCTTACAGTAAATGCTACGGATTCTGGCACAACAAATGCTAGTATAGATCAGATAAATGGTGTTGAATCTGACGGAGGAATGCAAAACTCTGGTCTTATGCATGCTAATAGAATTTCTCCAGCAACTGTTAGTTATCTATTGATTTAATAATTAATTGTGTGATGGTAAATTATTTAATTATGATTTAATAGGTCAATTGGCTGATGGAAAATTATGAAATGGCTGAAGGTGTATCTTTACCACGATCAACACTATATAATCATTATTTAACACATTGTTCTGAAACTAAGATTGATCCTGTAAATGCAGCATCATTTGGTAAATTAATACGATCTGTATTTATGGGATTACGAACTAGGCGTTTAGGAACTCGGTATGTTGGTGTTAAATTAATTTATTATTAATTAATAATTTTATTTAATATTTCTCTATTTCAGAGGAAATTCCAAGTATCATTATTATGGTATTAGAATTAAGGCTAGTTCATTGTTAAATGATTTTTCTACTGAAGAGAGCCTACCTGGTCGAACAAATCAAAGTAGTAGTTCTAAAAAAATTAAGTTCATAAAAACGGAAGAACGTAACTGTAATCAGTACACTACTAATAGTTCAGATTCTGCTAATTGTTCTCAAAATAGTATTCCATCATCTCCTCAAGCACAAAATCAAGAATACTTAGGTGATGGGGCCAATGCCGTACCGGAATTTCCTGATATTATAGTGGATGAAATACAATTAGATGATAATTGTACTTTTGAAGATGTAGATACATTTAAAAATTTGTATCGGGAACATTATGAAGTATTTTATAATAATTTATTTGTAATTTTATTTTATTTTATTTCAAAAAAATTTTTTTTTAGGCGTTTTTAGGTGCTATATTAAATTTGGAATTTGGTACTGTTGAATCACTTTGGCGAGAATTTTGGCGTAGTCAAGATAACAATAATGATGAATGTGAAGAGGAAAAGTATCTATCTAAAGAAAAATTGTACTCGTTGTCAAAATGTAAAACTTTACAACTATTTGTAAAAACGGTTGACTTTCTATTTTATCAAAACTTGGTGAAAGTATTAATTCCAGATGTTCTTCGACCTGTTCCTGGTATATATATATATATATATACATATCTATTATTGATACTTGAAATATTTATATTAAATAAGTTTTTTATAGGAACATTAACACAAGCTATTAGAAATTTTTCTAAAGGTTTGGAGTCTTGGCTTACATCTGCAATGCAAGGATGTCCAGAAGAAATGATCTCAATAAAAGTAATTACTTTTTAGTTTGTAAATACCATTGTTATGTTACCTATTTATTAAAATTATCATAGGTGACTGCTGTTAGCGCATTTGCACAAACCTTACGTAGATACACTTCACTTAATCATCTTGCCCAAGCAGCGAGAGCAGTTCTTCAAAATTATACTCAAATTAATCAAATGCTTACTGATTTAAATCGTGTAGACTTCCGTAATGTACAAGAACAAGTAAGATCTTTTACATATATTTAAATATAATACATGAAATTAATAATTTGAATGATTAAAAGGCTTCATGGGTATGCCAATGTGACTCAACATTAGTACAACAATTGGAGGCAGATTTTAAACATACATTACAACAACAAAATTCCTTAGAAGAATGGGCAACATGGTTAAAAAGTGTTGTTGATAACTGTTTGAAACAATATCGTGATACACCTAATTTCACCAAAGAAGCTAGGCAGTTTTTACTAAAATGGTCATTTTATAGGTAAATATAATTCCATTAAAACAAAATGTAAAATACTTCGAATGAACATTTTTAAAAATAATTTCTCTATATTCATAAATTATTCATTATTTTATGTTTATTATAGTTCAATGGTAATACGTGATTTGACTTTGCGTTCAGCAGCTAGTTTTGGTTCATTTCATCTTATACGTCTGCTATATGATGAATACATGTTTTATTTAATTGAACATGAGGTGGCTCTTGTCACAGGAGAAACACCTATTGCAGTTATGGGATCAGGAGATGTATGTATAGTAAAGTTGTACATTTTTCAAATTTAATTGAAATGTGTTCTTTTGTATAAAACTTGTAATAAGTAATAATCAATAATAATAAAATTTTTAAATATAATTTATATTAACTTTTTTATTTATATTTTGTTTTAGAAAACTATACCTACTACTGTTTTGATTGATTACGAATCAACAGAGTACACAACTAACTGCAATGGAAAGCGCATGAAAATAAACTAGTCACCATGTCATTAGAAATTCTTCATTTTTGGGCACTTAATCACATAAAAAAGTTTAGTTATTGTATGAATCCATTGTTTATTTTATTTTATTTTGTTTGTTATTGTGTGCACTGCAATTTATTATTTTTTATGTTAACTACTACACTTTGTAGATGATATTTTTATTTATTGATTTCCAAAGACTTAATATTATCTACATTTTTATAAGACATTTTGTGCAATTATTTGTTTTATTTTTTTAATTATTTATTTTGTATATTGTAAAACAAACATTAAATATTATGATTGGATTTTTGAGGCCTAAACAGCATTTGTGATGAATATTGTTTTAAATTATTTTTTTTGTTTATAATATATCTTAATACTTAAAATATTATATTGTAATCTGACTTGTGAATTGTTTTTTTTTTGGTATTACAATTTTTCAATATAAATACACACACACTAAATGCGAAATTGATTTTATTAACTTAAATTTATTAATTATATGTTCTAACTATTCTATTTGTCCCATTATTTTCAAATTGTCAGCTATGTTAAACTGGCATTCTGTACTTTGAACTATATCAACAATTTCAATGCCTTCAGCAATCTCAACTAGAGTTAATCCATTGTCAGGATCCACATCAAATACACACTAAAAATATATTTCATCAATAAAAATGTACATTAAATAATTAAAAACAATTACCTTTTCCGTGATTATTCTGTCAACACATCGATTGCCAGTTAATGGAAGAGTACAGCTAGAGATAATTTTTGGTGAGCCATCTTTGGTCGTATGTTCCATAGCAACTATAACTTTGGTATGTGGTGCTGATACAAGGTCCATTGCTCCACCCATACCTTTCACCAATTTACCCTAATGAACAGATGATGAGAAAGTTAAAGGATATCAAAATGTAGTTCAAACATTACTGGTATCATCCAATTAGCTAAATCTCCAAACTGTGACACTTCCATTGCGCCAAGTACAGTTAAATCCAAATGACCTCTACAGAAAAAGGAATACAGTGTCATTACTATAAATTTAAATGTAGCAGCATTAATTACCCTCTTATCATTGCAAAACTTTCTTCGCTACCGAAAAAACTGCTACCAGGTATAACTGTAACTGTTTCTTTACCAGCATTAATCAAGTCTGGATCGATTAATTTTTTTGATGATGGATGAGGACCAAGACCAAGAATACCATTTTCACTTTGTAATATTACCTGGACACCCTCAGGAATGTAATTACTAGCTAACATTGGCATACCTATGCCCAAATTTACTATTAAATATACCGATTAAGGACTTTTACAATTGAAATAGTATTTTCTATAATAATAATACCCAGAATCAGGAACAAATTGATCAAACTAAGCTATATAATTAAAAAAGGAAACGTCAAATTTAATTTTACATTTTTTGAAAATAGAAACTTATTAAAATATTTATTAGTCCAATGATAAATAAAAAACATCTAATTATACATAACTAATTTTGAAAAATGTTTGATGCCAAGAAAGCTTAAAATCAAACATAATTATTTTTTTTTTTTTTGTGATATGGTTTTTTTCAGTAAAATTTAATTCATAATGTTATAAAGTTAAAACTAATTCAAACAATTATATTTTGAAAATATTTCAAGTTAAAAATTAAAAGTTTAAAGAAATTCTTCTTAGTATTTTATCTAACATTAACTAAAAAAATATAAATTTATTTTATTACTATACATAATCTAAAAAAAAAGGATACCATACATGCCATTTTTGAATTCAAGAGCTACACGCTTAACAATTGTTTCTCTTAATTGAGCAGCCGAAGAGCTAACTAACATGGAATCAGATTGATCAGATTTTTTGGATAAAACTGTTTTCTCAATTTTAAAAAATTCTATTAAAATCAGTTATAATTATAGATAATGTACAGTTTACCTCAATTTTTTTAACATAATCTTTGCCTAGTACAATTCTGTTTATATATATCCCAGGAACATGTACATGATCTGGATCAATAGAACCATTTTCAACTATTTCTTCAACTTCTACAATGGTTGTTTTAGCAGCAGCGCACATAACAGCATTAAAGTTTCTAGCTGATTTACTATAAATATGTAAAATAATATTAAAAGTTTAAACATATGCATTAATTAATAATATTTACTTAAATACAAGATTTCCTTCATGATCAGCTTTTTGGGCTTTAATAATAGCATAATCAGCAGTAATCGCTCTTTCCAAAACATACGTTTTACCATCAAATATTTCTGTTTCTCGGGCATCACTAGTTATTTCAGCTTGACCTTTTTTGGAAAGTCCGTTTTTGTTTGCTTCTTTCTCCTCATTTCCTTTAACAGATTCTGTATGTAATGCAAACTTCAATGGAATACCACCTTCTTCTACAAGAGTACCAACAGCTGTAGGTGTGTAAAACGCTGGTATTCCTGCACCTCCAGCTCGTATTCGTTCAGCCAATGTCCCCTACAAATTAACTTGTACTTCAATTTCTATTAAATAAATCATTTAAACCTACAAACTTGTGGTGTAAGTTCTACTGTAAGTTCTCCATTTAAATATTGCTGCTCAAACTCCGAATTCTCACCCACATACGAAGCAATCATTTTTGAAATTTTCTTTTGTTTTAATAGTTTTCCTAAGCCAAAGTTATCCACACCAGCATTATTACTTATTGCAGTTAAATCATTTATATCATCTCGTTCTACAAGGCCATCAATTAATTTTTCTGGGATACCACAGAGACCAAAACCTATATAAAAATAAAAATATGCTTTAAGAAAGATAAAATTTAAATAATGTCCAAAAAAATTAAATTTTATTATAAATACATTTTCTTTAAATAAATTGTAAAATATTCATACAGTTAATTACTGTTTTTTTTAATAATTTTTAATGATAACATTTTTTTTTTTTTTGAGGTTTTAAATAAGTCATTTCAACAGAATATATTTAGGTACATAAAAATGTAATAACAAATTTTTGATAATGTATTGAACTAGTAATTCAATGATTTCAATTAAATAATTAAATAATCATGAAATTTGATCAGAATATATTATTCAATAAAATATATTAAATCTATTCAATAAATACCATAGTATTCAAGAAAAAATTATCTTAAAATAGTAATAATTATAATATGAAATGACTACTTTTTTAATAGATGTTAAAAAAAAGTTGAATATTTTTAATATTCATTAAAATATACAAAATATTCAAGTATGTAGTAAATATTCTCTCTATTTCATTAATATTGTATGATGGTATGATAATATTGGAGATACACTAAAAAATATTTTTAATCAATCCTACTGTACCAGATTCAAGCTATAAATTATATACCAATGTTTAGATCTATGAATAAAAAAAAAATCAAGTGATAATGGTATTCAACAATTTTTTAATGTAGTTCTATAGCATTATCAAAATACAAATATTAAGTGATATAATAAAGTAGTTGATGAGTGTTAACATTTTATTTTCAACCATTCAACATACCTCCAAATAGAATTTTACTGCCTGGTTTTATATCCTCTAAAGCATGGCTGACAGAAGTATACACTTTTTGCTTACGTAGACTAACATTACAACTAAAATTTGAAACCTAAGGAATAAATGACAAAATTAATACTAAACCATGTTTTACACCTACTTACTCTACCTGAAACACAACAACATTCTTTACTGTTGGTTTAAAGTTATGGTGGTATTTGTTAATCAAAGAAAACATTTCAAATTTTATAGTTTTACATGTATGGTTAAATGAATGGCTCGATTTAAAACATTAAAAATAATCTATTATATTTATCAATAATTATAGTTCAAATAAATTCTCAATTGGACTTGAACTTCAATTTTTTTTTTTGTTATGTTATCAACTATTTGAGATAATATTGATAATACCACAGATTATATAATCTGCGATAATACTATATGAACCACGATTTAAGATATACAGGAGGTCAATTCTTGAAATCATACGATTAAATCTCGCATGCGATATAAGTCATACATTTTATCGACTGTGACAAATTTCTATCGCATGCGACCATAAACATTATATTATGTCTATGCATGCGACATACAATTGCTTTTCTTGAATTGAAGTCAATAAGATTTTATCACTTCTCGAATGCGATAAAATTTATCGAATGAACCACTATGGTAAAAACACAAATCTAAATTTTAACCTCAAATAACTGTAAAGTTATATAAATTATTATTTTATTCCTTTATCACTGAATGTTATCAACGATAAATGTATTATATAAGTCAATAGTCCCTAATGGCCTATTATTCTAAAATCACGATTTACGGTTCATACTTCATAATTCCTATTAGATTAGTTCAAGCCATTCATTCATTACAATAGTGACGTTAAACTGTGAAAAATATTTATCACACATTTGTGATATCATCACAGTGTGATAAAATCACTGTTATATTATGTATGAGTAGCAATCACTGCTATTGCTACTTATGGATCACTGTGAAAAGTAGCAGTTACTGCTACTTTTTAACATCACTAATTATAAACAAATAACAACATACTAAGTTACAAAATGTACTAAATTACTAGTAACATGTTAATAAGTCAATCAATTCCTTAACTACGTCTTTTGTAAACTTAAAGTTTTTCTACAAATAAACGATCTGACAATGTAAAAGGATCTGTCACATTGTCTGGATTGCGAGTCTACCTTTCATAATATATATTATGATTTTCGTGTTTCTCGACAGTATTAATGACAAACAACATTGCCATATCTTCAACATTAGCCATTTTAATAGTATATAGCACTACAGCAGAATAATTAAAAACAAGTAATGACTGCTAATGCACTATTACACTAATGAGTAACGATACAAACACAATTACAATTTACAAAACTAAATTTTATTTGATATGGTTTTAATATGAGTACATTACACTCACAATCATAATTTATCATGCGATATAGGTTAATCACCGACTTTTTACCCATTCAAATGTTTTTCGTTCCACCTCAGATTATATAATCTTTTACATAATTTGTGGTTATATCATGGAATACTCTGTGGGTTAGATTCGCATACAATATACATTTAAACTGCCTATCTTTAATTTACCACAGAATAGATGATATTACCATAAAATAGATTAATCTATGTAATATCCACGATTTTAAGGTATATTAAACCGTGGTAATATCTAACATAATATATATTCTGTGAGGCAATGATAAGTTTTTTAAAACGCACTACCACAGATATATAATACAATATAATATAATATAATATATAATAAATATATATATATATAAAACAGTAAGCTGATTGACTGTTATCAACGCACAGCTCAAACCATTGAACGGATCTGGCTGAAATTTGGCATACAGATAGCTATTATGATGTAGACGTGCGCTAAGAAAGGATTTTTCGAAATTTTGAATTTAAAGGGTTGAAATCGGTTTAATATTTTTTGACCAGGTCGATAACTGCGCTATTGAAAATGAATTATATTAAATAAAATTATTAAAAAATTATTAAAAAACTATTAAAAACTATTAATTTTATTTTTGGTAGTAAATGACGAGTATTGCATAAATATTAAACAAAAAGATCCTGCAACAGGTGCCAAAACAAATAAGAATGTTAGTTCAAAAAATTATTATGCATATCGGTTGATGATTAAACGCGATCAGGACTAAGTTATTTTACAATGCATAAGCTTTGTCAACAATTCATGGTCGAATATATATAAAGATAGATAGCGAACGATTTCGATACTTCGATTTCGATTCAATCAAAAAAAGCTGCGTGCAAAAGATTCTCAAAACAATTGTTAGATATTGGAGATGGGAAAGTTACTACAGATGAAACGGGATGTATAAAATTACCGAACGATTTCTGCACAATCATTTATTCGCAAGATGCTCTCATTGACCAGATATTTCCCAGTGTACACAGACAATACACAAATCATAAGGGGCTGGCAGAAAGAACAATTTTAGTAGGTAGCAAAAAATGTGGACGTCAACGATTTGAATCTCAAGATAAAACATTTGTTACCAGGAAACTTGGTGTCATACAAATGTATTGATACAGTTTGCGATGCTACTGAAGTTGTAAATTATCCAACAGAGTTTTTAAACTCATTGGATTTACTAGGCATGCCACCGCATAATTTACAATTGATCATTACAATTTACCATCGACAAAATACCTCCTTCAGAGTCATTTAAAGTTGTAATACATGCAGATAAAAAACCACCAGAAGAACATAGAGGCAGGTATAATGCACCAACGGCAAATAAAGTTGCTTTAGTGTTAGTAGATCAGCAGTTTGATCGAAGAGACATCATCCTCGAAAACCGAAGTAACTCACTTCACCGTATCAGTGAGATACATCGAGCATACGACGCACTGCAGTATCCTTTAATGTTTTGTTGGGGGGTGGGGATGATGGTTATGCAATCAATATACCACAACGCGATCCAAAAACCAAGTTACTGCTTAAAAAAAACTGTCTCTGCATCAAGTTTTTACTCATATAGAATAATGGTCAGAGAAGGGGAAAACAACTATTTAGTTAATTATCGTTCTCTTTTCAGTCAATATTTGGTAGATGAATACGCCAAAATTGAAACTGAAAGACTAAATTACATCAAAAACAACCAAGCCAAATTGCGTGCAGATAGTTATATTCATTTAAAAGATACGATTGGATGACGAGACATAGAAGCTAATCAGTTAGGCCAAATGGTTATACTCCCGTCAACTTTTACTGGTGGGCCAAGGTACATGCACGAAAGAACACAAGATGCTATGAACTACGTTAGACATTACGGTCGTCCTGACCTTTTTATTACTTTTAAATGTAATCCTCGCTGGGACGAGATAAAAGAGCTCTTACTTCCTGGTCAAAGATCATATGATCGACATGATATAATTGCAAGAGTGTTTTGGTTAATAGTCAAAAAGACCATGAACTTATTGACTAAAGGTAAAATATTCGGAGAAGTGAGATGCTATATGTATTCAACAGAATACCAAACTGTAGAGAGGTTCAGGTAGTTGTAAGCTATAACTTATCGAATAGGTTATGATAATAATCATTATCTTAAAAACTAAATTAATATGTATAAAATATTATTTCAAAAATCTTAATTAATTTAAATTTCAATAGATTTAACAAAATTTAATCTTGGCAGGTTACATACATTTACATACTTAAACCCGGCAAACGACGGGTAATTCAGCTATTATATATATATATATATATATATATATATACCTGTGCGCACAACTACTTCCATGATAAGATAACAGTCTTCCTTATTCGTACTTAAATTATTGTTTTGATAGCCTTTTTTTAGTACCTATGATTTGAATTTTTAAAGAAGTTTTTTGCATTTACGTAATTTCATTATATATAGTGGGATGTCGTCTTCGTGTTTAGTAAATAATGAAGATACGTTTAACGATGAAGAAATAAGTCGATTATCTCTTGAAATTGAACTTTTAAAACAAGAATTGAATAAAAAAACGGAGTTACTGAAAACTAAACAGGTACCTGCTATAATAGTTTTTTAAACAATTGTTAATGTTTATTATTATATATTTGCTTATATTTGTTTCACCAGTATCATTACATATTATAATTTAATTTACATTATTTATCATAATTTTTATTTAGAAAAAATGTTTGACCAAACTTGATGTTAGTCGATATAGCAGGCAGATTATTTTACCAGAAATTGGCATTGAAGGTCAAGTTGTAACAGAAATGTCAGTACTCTTTATAAATTTTTTAATACTTTTATTCTTTTAGGTCAAAAAAAATTGAAAAATGCTAGTGTACTAATTATTGGTGTTGGCGGCTTAGGATGTCCATCATCAATGTATTTAGCAAGTGCTGGAGTAGGTACCATAGGATTAGTTGACTATGATGAAGTAGAACTTAATAATTTACATAGACAATTATTGCATGGGCAATGTAATGTTGGTATGCGAAAAGTTGAATCCGGAAAATTATCATTAAGTCGGTTAGTACATTTAAAAAGATTTCCTTATTTTGACTATTTAAGTAATGACATTTGAATTATTACAATTTTTTTTATTTAACAGAAGTACAACATTTTAATAATTAGTAGATGAGTATCTAGTTTTGTTAAATGTATTCATTATTTGTACGATTGTTAATATATTTTATTTTATTATATAAAATGTGATTATATTATCATCCATTTAATTTATAATATATGTATCTGAATTATGTTTCTATATTGAGAATAAACTTACTTAAAATTATTATTCTTATTATAATAAACATAATATTTTAATAATCAATAACCCATTAACAAAAGTATCGTGTACCTAATTATCTCTATAAATTTATTTGTTTATTAATTTTATTAATATGTTTGTTTTACTTTATTATTTAATAATGCTTACATTCAATTTTCAGTATGAATGAAGATGTTAATATTGTTGTCCATGATGTTCAATTAGATGGTTATAATTCATTGGATATTTTCAAACAATATGATGTAATTATAGATGCTAGTGATAACTTAGTAACACGTTATATAATTAATGATACTTGTGTAAAAGCTGGCAAGCCTTTAGTATCTGGGTCAGCTATACATTGTGATGGACAGCTAACTGTATATAACTATAAAGGATCAGTATGTTTTAGATGTTTACATCCAAAACCACAATCTCCTGAAACTATTGGAAATTGTGCTTCTGCAGGTGTTTTGGGACCAGGTAATAAATGTATTCAATTTTATATTTTGGGTTATGTAATAAAAGTTAGACCTGACCTTTTTTAACCTTTTATTGATAGTTCCAGGGGTAATTGGTGTTCTCCAAGCAATGGAAACTATTAAAATAATTATTGATCATCCAAATGTATTGTACAACAGTTTATTACTATATGATGGGGGAGACTGTAATTTTAAAAAAATTAAATTAACAAATGTTAAACGAGCTGGATGTTTATGTACAAGGAGTACAGAAGATATTGTAATTACCATGGATTATGAAGAATTTTGTGGATCTAAAGCAAACGATAAAGTATAATTATTTTATTTAGAAACATTGAGAAATATTAATTTATTAATTTGTATTAGTTTAAGACACTAAATTTACTGAATGAAGATGAACGTATAACTGTAATAGACTTGAACAAATTAATATCCCAGAATCAACCATGTTTGGTGATAGATGTTCGTAAAAATGTAGAATATGACATGTGTCATTTACCATTTTCTGTTAATATTCAGTTAAATGATTTAAAAAGAGAAAAAACTCTTTTGGAGTTAATTAAACAAATTAATTCATACAGTAAAACACCAAATGGTAAGTAAAATTTAAATTTTTTAGTAATTACATTTTTTTTTAATAAAAACATTAAATACAAATCAAAATATGTCATATAACATTACAATTAAAATGCTATGAATGTTTATTTATTCATTTGTTACAGTTATTACTATTTGTCGCCGTGGAAATGACTCTCAAAGAGCTGTGAAGGAATTAAAGAAATACCCCCAGATAACAAAAAAAGTAAATTGGATAAAAGATGTTATTGGAGGTCTAAATGAATGGAGTATGAAAATAGACAAAACTTTTCCTATGTATTAAAATTAAATCATCTATTAAATATTGATATTATTGACTCCCTAAAACATTATAATTAAATTATATGGAAATTGCTTGTTTATTAAAATTTTTCATTATTTTATTTTAATTTTTTTAAAATTTAGCATTTTTGCTTTAAATATAGAACTTTAAAAATACCTTATTTTTTGAAAGTTTTTATGTAATAAAATTTTTATTTTTAGATATTAAGACTTGAAATTTTAATATCAACTTACTCGTTCACTTACATAATGCTACTAAAAAATTTAAAAAAATGTTTATCAGGATTTTATTTTCTAAGCATTTTAGTAAATTATTTTATAATTTTTAGGGAATTTACTGTTTTTGCATCAATTTTTTACTTAAAATGTTTATTTAAAAAATTAGTCCATCCAATCATAACAAAATTTTGGATACAGATAGAACAACATCTTTTTAATATTATACTGTTTTTACTATGATGGAATTAAACAACATTTTTATACTGAAGTTTTGTTCAGAATAGTTATACTAAAGAATTGAAATAATTTCTTTAAAACTATACATCTATTACCATTATCCAAACCAAGGATCAAAGGGACGAAGTAAGAACTTCTGCCACCTTTATTTTACAGGCATTTTATTGTATATTATGAACATCTGGACTGAATATTATAATACCTAATTATTTCTATAGCTTGTTCAGCAAATATCACTAATATAGACTTTAACATTAAAACTATTAATAAAATAAAATGTAACCACCACTAAATTCCTCTTCAAACTGTCCATTCATATCAACTCACTCATTTACTTTTAAACGGGTAAAAATTTATCAAAAAATTCCTACTATAGGTTAAAAAGGTATTGTATTGGTGTAAAATTATTTCTTTTCTTCTGGATTTAGTATCTTTCTACCATATGATGTTATCACAAATCATTTTTAGCATATTTGTTAAATCGATGACACTCAATCATCACGTTTTCCGTGTCTATATTTGTATTTTCCAATTGAATAAACTTTTCTCAAAACAGCGGGGACATTTTTAAAGATAAATTATTATATTGATGTCGAATAATCGGTATGTTGTAACCACTAAGGGTTTCCTCAATAAATGCTTTCCAGTCTCGTATTTTGATATTTCTGGGTTTGCAAAGATGATATCTAGGCAATTATTATTAGGGCACACGTGTCGTATGCTATCTACCGTAAACCAAACAGTTAACTACAGCAAAAATATAGACTATTGAATGTTTATGGAAACAAATGCAAGAAGAATGGTGGAGATCAGTCAATCAAAAAAATGTTTTTAAATTTTTTTTACAAGATATAAAAAAATAAAAAAATAAATGAACAACTGTTAACAAACAGGCTATTTAAAATAGGACAACTGTGAACCAACAGGCATTGATACGTATGTGTAGATTTTTATAGATATGATTTTCTTGGTAGATAGCATATGACATGTGTGCCTTATTAAGTATTAAAATATAAACGTTATAGATTAGAAAAATCATGGATAAATGTGCATGAAAACTAAAAATAGACATTTATTTATAATTATCATTTTGCAAGGGAAATAATATAATAAAACAGTTTAGTATATCAGTGCAATTACAAATATGTTCAGCCATATAACCTATATAGGTAAGAATTTTTATGTAATATTAATTGAGTTAAGACTTGACATTAGATGTATATCAAAAGCTTGGAGGAAATTAATTCTTCCAAATTAAAAATAATGATTTATAAACTCATCCCATTCATTTGTCACAAGATGGTTGAAAAATGATCAAAAAGTTAGTTTATTTGATTTTTTCAATTTATTTCAAAATTTATTGAATATTAATTATTCAAAATACAAATGTCTATAAAATATGTTTTTACATAATTTTCTTAAACTCATTAAATTACAGGGAAATTAAAAAATTATAAATAATTTTATTTACCTTGCCAAATTAACATTATAGTTATTTTGTGTATCCTGCATTATCTGTGTCATGTTATCTGTATTCTGCCCTTGGTCTTCCTCTTACAATGTGTTCTTCAACATCTCCTGCAATTATTTTCTTTAGTAAACTTTCATGCCTTAGTATGTGTCCTATCATCTTGCCTCTTCTGGATTAAATACTTTTCTATATTTGTCGTTGTTCCTTTATTTTATCCAGTACCTTATTGTTTGTTACTCTCTCGGTTCATGGTATTTTAAGCATTTTCCTAAAGCACCACATCTCAAAGGCTTCTGTCTTTTTTTTTCCATTGAGTTTATTGTCCAAGTTTCGGATCCAAAGAGCGTTACACTCCATACATAACTTTTTAGGAATTTCTTCCTTATTTCCAGGCTGACGCTATTGGTAGTTAGTATGTGGCTTTTGTCTTGAAAGGCCCTTTTCGCTTGTGCTATCCTACAGATTATATTGGTTTTGCTGCGGCCATCATCTGTTATAATGCTTCCTAGGTATGTAAATTGGTGTACTTGCCTTATTTGTTCATTGTCGATGTTTATGTTGAGTTAGACCGGATTAGATTTACTGCATACCATAACTTTTGTTTTTTTTTTGTTGAGTTGCATTCCATACTTATTTTTTAATATTCTATTCATTGCTATTAGGGTATTTTTTAGGTCGTCTTTATTTCCTGCACAGAAAGCTATATCGTCCGCAAATCTTAAGGCATTAACCATTGTTCCTCCTATTCGTACTCCTTTCTGTATTTCTTCTACCAGATCTTTATGGCATTGGTCACTAAAATACTTATTATAAAATTACAATATTACATGAAATTTATTTTCTTAATTTATTTCAACAGGTGGAAAATTTCGGAGAAATAATATTTAGGTATAATGATAAGCAAAAATGACAGATAATGTACACCACGGGTTAATTTAATTGACGCTGTGTCTAATTATAGATTGATACGGCCTCAGGTCAATGTGGATTTTCTTCCCTCAGTGAGGTGGCCGGTCACGGTTTAGTGGTTGTGTTTAGATAAAAAAGAATAACCACGAAACCAAAACAAAATATGGTGTTCAACATTTTATTACCAAACAAAATAATGATATAAGCTAAGGGTGGTCTTCTGGTGACGGTGGTAAAGAGACAATGAAAAAGAAACGTACTGGGACGATATTCGTTCACCGACGGTCACGAGCAGAAGATTAGTGACTTGAGGCGACTGGTCGGTACGTTGCCACCGGTTCAGATAACTTTTCCTACCTCTGCCCGGTTTTCCGAGGTAGGTGGGTAGTAATGGAAACGGTGTTGTCGTTGCCAGGTTATGGGTGGGTAGAGTGCAGGCGCGACTTCGCGATAGTGGTGTATTTAATGTACCTGCACCAGAGTTGGGCAACATTTTATCTAGATAATTATTCGAATAAATATGTATTCGAATAAGAATTTTTCGAATGATTTTTTTACAATTCTTCGAATAAAAAAATATTCGGCTAATTTTTTAACATAGTTATTCTATCCTAGTATATATAGTAGTAGTTAGTACTAATTACTAAATATGTATTATGAAATAATGATTATAATTCTTCTAGTTTGTCTACATGTACTAAGTATGTACCTTAATAGTAATTAATTATCAATATTGAAGATGTTATTATTATATCTAGTTTAGTCCAGTTTCTATACTATATTATATAGTCTCAGATATTTTGGTACTATGTACTAACTACATATGTTTAATGTTGTATTTCATATTTATAAGTTCAAATATATAGAGCTCTACACAAAAATATAAAGATACTAGATAGATGGGCATGTAGCTATAAAAATTATCTGTTTGAATTTATGATATCTAATTATAATTGTGTTTGAAAATTAGTCGAATAATAATTTATTCGAAGAAAATGTTATCTAAATAATCATCTAAATAAAATTTTATTCAAATAACGCCCAACTCTGACCTGCACCACAGCGGGACCGCGTCAAGATGATCCCCGAGTGGTAATAACCCATAATTCTAAAATTAAAGTGTTGGTGATATCGACTATTATTTAGAATAAATATAAACAGAATAGAATAACTATAAATAGTATAAATATTAAATTATGATAGAGGATAGACACTATCTTATAATATAGACAGTAGGGTCTAGGACATTTCGCCGCGACCAATTCGTTGCCGTACCGTTTCGCTGCCGGACTATTCACCGCGACCGCTGCACCGCCGGATTACTCGCTGTCGGGCTATTCGCTACGAAGAGAACCTCCCCACGAAATATTATAATTACCAATTATGTACTTATCATTAAAGATCAATAAACAACAACATTAAGGTTATGATATTTTTTCAAACCTCACCACCAGACTTTTTTACATGCGTTCATCCCTGATTGACACTCTTTGAGTTGTGAAACATTAATTTTGATATGTTTCTCAATTTAAATCAAGTACATTTTAACACCCCCACAGCCCCACAATTGAATTTGCAGCTTTAATTTCCGTCTGTTCATAAGCAGCTATGTGCTTGCATACTTCTCTGGGACAGAAGATTTTTTCAGAGCGCATAATATAAACAAAGTCCCGAAAACGGTTTTCGGAAAACCAACGCTTTTGGGAAAGAAAAATTAACAACATTTTTCGTATGTACGATCTACGTTTACGGCTTTATATAATGTGACAAGAATTATAAAATTATTAAATGCTTTTCGTTTTTATTAAACACGTTATTATGAATTTTTTTTTAATTTTCAACACAAAAAAAAAATAAAAATTTGAAAAACCTATAATTTTCTAGGTAATAAAAATGGATGTGATGAATCAATAGTAAAAATTCAATACCTAACTCAAAATAGTTAAATTTTAACATTTAATAATAATAATATATTATAAAAATGTATACATAGTTTATTTTTTAAATTACATGGATAAATCCAAAAATAGGGATCCGGGTATACGGCGTATACCCTCCAATACACCACTTAATTAATTAGTTAATTAAATTAACCAATATAAACCTAAATAATTATGTAACATAATATAATTGAAAATACAAAATAATTATCATAAAGGTTTGTATAGTAAATAATAATATATTGAGTAGTGGGAAAAATTAACTACGAATACATTATAATTGTTTGGTCGAAAAAATAACATTAGTGCCAGTTGACATTAACTTATACTTTAACTTCTGTGTGTTTTTAATTGTTTATTTATTTCATTGTTGAAACAGTGAAAATTCATTATACAGTGATATATTATAAGCAGAGCTCGGGACTTATAGCACTTAAAATCATTAAAATAAGCGCTTAAAAAAGCACTTAAATACATCATTATAAGCACTAACATTAAAAATATTACTTTTGTACAACTTGGTTTAAACCACCATTTTCCTTCCCATTTTATTTTTAACAGATTTTAACAAAATTGAAAATACTAATGCTAACCTAGTATGGTATAAGCTATAGGAACCACTATGGAACATAGTGTTTTGAATTTTTGTTAATAATGTACAATAAACCACAATATTGCCAATTAGTATTATCGCATCGGCCGATAAGGCCATTTTGTAACAGATATCTATTATAGTATAATTTATGGTATAATAATTATACCATATATTTGTATATATATTGTGTATTTTTATTATACGTATGTATAATATAACTGTGGGTTTTTGATCAGTTATCAATTATAAATAATTTTGTTCTGTACTGTACATAATCTACAAATTACAAATTAGTTTACAGTTTAACTGAACATCTTATTACTCCGATAATGGCGTGTTTTGCTCGCCGATACGGCGCATATGAACTTAACCAATGTAAACTTAAAGCGCGCGCGTACGATACGCGTCCATGTGAAACGGGCCTAAGCGGGCTTTCCAGTAATTATTTAAAAATATTTTATTTAAAATGTACTAAAAAAAAAAAAATAGGCCCAAATGGGTTCACAAAATCCTGGTCCAATCGGGTTGTGTTTTTATTAGTGATCTAAACGTCCCTGGCCCAAACGTGCCTCGACCAAGTAGGTACCTCAGTCACTGGCATTACCTTTTATCTATGGACGTACTGTAGGTACGACCACAGATATGTATATTAAATAATATATGTATAATATGTTATTATACATATATTAAATAATATATGTATAATATGTTATTATACATATATGTGGGTACGACGGAAAACACTTAGTAATTGTTATCACGTTTAGTCGGTGTTATATAGAGCACAAAATGTGGACACGACGGTATGCCGCCGGTGTTGAGTGTAAGTGCACAACAAGCAACAGAACATTTACCACTACCGCACCGCGCAACAAAGGTAAGCAATTATCTATCGTAATGGATGTGTGTGAGAAGCATCAAGGTGTATTGAAAAATAAAAATGATAATCGCCGACGCCTTATCACCATTGTGTCGGAATTACCTGAAATACACGCGCGCACGCACTTACGCCAACATCAGCAGTAGTAGTAATAGTGGTATTCGCAGTAGTATTTTGTGTGATAGTGTTTTTGGGGCCGTGAATAAATAGGTATAGAGTAGTGGTCAACTTTAGCCGGGGTCCAAATTCCGAAGTCTGCGCCAAGTGTGTTTCTAATATTTTAACATTTTATTAAATTAGGCACTCACTCCTTGGTCTTGGCTGTAGGGTTGTGCCGTATTCGACTGTTCACGCCATGTATGCGTACCCCAATAATATTAATAGTTCGCTATGCCAGTGCCATTTGGCTTAACCCGTCCAATACTCCCAACAGTCGATCGTGACAAATCTGTAAGTTCACGTTCAACAGTACTACAAATGCTTGAATTTGTTTCGCTTTTTTTTTTTTTAACTTATCGTTTTCGACATTTGACAATATAGACGAGTCCCTCAATAGTCTAGTTAATGTTATTGTATTGGAATATAATATTATATGTTAAATTACAATAAACTAATGATTGATATTATCCTGTATTTATGTTTTTTTTTTTTTTTTATGTCATTAAGTGTTTTGAGTTGTTTTTAAAAAATAACGTATGAACATGAGAACAATAAATATTATTAATACTGCTTGTCATACGACCGATGTTGAAAACTGAGTCTTGCCACATTTGGCCGGTGTTAGGCAAGTGCCATGGTTGCCTGCACGGTATCTTTCCTAATATGGACAGTATCATTACAATGGACCTTAGCTCAAGATTATTCTTCTCAATGGGCAGCTCACATTCAAGGTGGATTCGAAATAGCCAAAAGAACAACGGAAAAACATGGATTCATAATACTAGGAGAGGTAAATTATCTTATTCTTTTTTATGATTAAATTGCTATGACATTCAATATAAATTTTAGTGATAACAATTTTATTCAAAACATTTTAACTAAAAATATTTAATGATTTTCATCAATGTTAATAAATAAAGAGTTAGAGCAAAAGAAACGTTCGATAATTAAAAATATTGACTCAAAATAATTGAATATTGCCATCTGTGGATTACAAAATCCATGGTAATTTGCATTTTATCGATTTAACAGTTATTAGAGTTTCTTAAAGATGTAAACTGTATTACTTTTTTTAACATGCATCTTAACTTATAATTTTAGCAAAATAAATGTAAAACTAGTTATATTCTAACTTTGTGATTTATTTTATGCTCTAATTAACTTAAAAAGTTATTTATTTATTTTAACTATTTAAAAGTGTCTTTATTAATTAATTTAACAGTCTTTACTAACAATTAAAATCATATGGAATAGTTTTATATAGTGGTGTAACCAGAATTTTTAAATGGGAAGGGTTAAATAGTTATTGACAAGTTAGGTTAAAAATTCACCATTCATCCCTACAACTTAGTTAATATATTTCTAGCATTTTATAATAGTTTAAAAATTTGTATTCAATTATAATTTATAATAATAATATATTAATAATTGTCAGCTGAGGTAACATCGTCGCAACATACACGGTATAAAATATAGTGGTTATAAAATAATAGTTTCAGAATCATAGACATATCAAAATATTTTTATATAATTATATGTCTAAAATTAAAGGAGAGTCTCCAAAATGTTATGATTACAACTAAAAAGATAGTAGAAATCACAATAGAAGTAATACACTTATGTACCAAAGACAAATACCCTTTAGACTATACTCTCTTTAGCCCCCCCCCCCTTCACCATTAGCTATGAAACTGTTTTTACATAATCTGATATTTGTGAAATATTTGATTTTATAGAAAATGTCTTGCATTGCATTATGACACTAATTATGTTTAAAGGAAACTATATTTAATAACTTCTGGGTACTTGACATTTTTATAATAAATAATCTGTTTAATAATTATTAATAAAAAAAAAAAACTATTTTTTATAAAATTTATATAATTACATAAAAACAGATAATAATTCTGATCATATGCTACATGTATTAAATGTTTTAATCGCAAAATGCACTAGATAATATGTATTATTTTGAAAATAATAACATGATCCTTTCATTTCAAATTTGTTTATTTTATGATAATTGTAAGTTTGAAAAATTAATGATTTATCTTTTTAATGAAATGTATACTTATAAAGCAAGAGAAGCCAACTTGTGGCCCTTGTCATTGTCAGATGCGCCTTGTGTTTTATTTATAAAATTAAATTACTTATCATATTATTATTATTTTAGTTTTTAGGTATAAATTTATAAAAAATTATCAAATTATTTTATCCTAATTTTTGTCATAAAAGGTATTATCCTGAATTATAAGATGTACAATAATATAAAATACATATTTTATATTAATATTTTAATTAAAGACTTAAATTTTTCAGATTTTTCCAGATTATTATCATCTAGAACACAAACATGTATCAAAACGATCAGTTAACCCAGGTCTTGAACATCATAAAAAATTAATATCTGAAGAAAATGTAAGTAATCAATTTATATTTGTTTAATATTTATTCATACAATTTATCAATAAATTAATAATTTACTTATAATTATTAAATTTTGCTATTAGCTTTATGAAAAATGGATTTGAATTCTGGTCTTGTTCTTTTTACAATAGGTGTGTAATGTTGTACTTTGTTTTTTTTAAGAAATGTTGGTTTTACAGTAATCGGTTTTTCATTTAATAATCTATCTTTGATTTTGAGTTGATCGATTGGAATGGTAGTATTTGTGATACTTGGATAGACTGGACTGGTATTTACAATATTGTTTGAATAATTTATTTTTTGATGATTTAAAACAAAATTTTGTTGGTTTAAATAATTATAATAACTTGCTAAATAATGTTCTAATAATTGATTGTAATATTGATTTGCATCTGTTGGTTTCCATTGTTCAGTAGATATAGTCAACTAAAAATGAAATAAATTGTTTTAATATTTTTTTGATATTACTTATTAATTAGTGAATATTTTTTAATATTTGTTTATCTAAAAAAAACTTATTGTTCGTTATTACTTAATTAATTTTATTTTAATTCAGTTTTAATAAAATTTATTGTAATTTAAATTTAAAGATTAAATATAAAATACTAGTTTAAATTTTCTTAAGTTACTTAAGTAATTTTTATAAATACAATTTAACAAAGAAAATAGTTTTAAAATATAATAGTTAAATAAGAATTTATTGAATAAAAACATATTTTGAAAAATAATTGTTAACAAATATTAGATAATAATAGATGGCTAATTTATTTGATTTTATATACTAAGAAATATTACAGAAAAATATTAAAAATATGTTTTCATTAGTATCATTATTGTAAAAATAATGAGTAAGGTATTAATTAGTTATTAATTACTATACCTGATAAGTTGAATGTACTAATACTACACCAATAAAAACCAGATATTGAACTGAATTCATGTTGTCTGTTATTTATATTGACAGTAAATGAAAAAAATATCACTTTTATACTTAGACATTGTCAATGTCAAATTAATATTTTTAAATATGCAACATATTTCTCTTTTCTTTCATTATTTATCACATTGTTTTTTTTTTTTTTTTTTGTCAGTTTATAATAAATATTAAATAAAAATAGCTAAATCATGATATTTGTCACGTACATTTATAAAAATAATAAATAATTTATTTGTGTTAGGTGAAATGGGCACAACAACAAAAAATATTGAATCGATCAAAGAGAGATTACATAACTTATGCTAGAAATAGCAGAAGTTCTAAAAGATTTGTCAATAAAGGTGGATTAAATGATCCAAAATGGCCAAAAATGTGGTATCTGGTTAGTAGTTTAATTATAAAATATTTTTAATGATGTTGAATAAAATTAATAGATTTAAGAAACTTGATAATTTATCATACATGTATACTAAATAATAATTTAACTATGAAAAATTATTTACCCCCATATAGTATACAATTGTTTAACCAAAGAAGAAGAAGAATGTTCAATTGTAATAATCTCAAGCCAAATGTTTAGTTGTATTTTTATTTAATGATATGTAGTTGAAACAAGGAATGAATTTATATATATTTGATTTTTTACCTTTTGATCCTTTTTTTTACCAAATTTTTTGTTTAACAGCTTTAAAATTAGTAAATAAGAAATTATAGATCTTATGAATTGAATTTATTTTATACATGGACAATCCTTAATTCTTCTTCTTGCGTTAAAAATATTATATATTTGATTCTGTTAATTTTTTTTAAGTGAAACTTCTTTACTGAGGATATGACAAAAATATTTAGTCACGTGACTGATTGATCAGAATGAAACGACTGAATGACACACTAATAAGGCACATGTGTGTCGTATATCTGCTATACAACGGTCAATACCACCACTCTTTTCTTTTCTAAACCCAATTTAGCGAATATTGGAATTAGAAACTCTGGACCCAGGGGGTTCTGAGTTTTTATGGCCGCAGAGTAATTCCACCATTTGAGAACAAAACCCCACCCCCCTCATTTTGAGTTGGCTATAACTCAGGAGGGTTTCAATTTAATGACCCCGGACCAACTGGGAACCGTTCCGGAGGTGCGGGACTACAGGTTTCCGATTTAGGGAACGGGGCACTCTCTCTCCTTTTTTGCTTTATTTCAGTCCAAGAGGTCACTATGACCCACCCCGCCGCTGAGACACGTGGGGTTTCGATTTCCCCCCTCCCTTGCTAACCTCAATGGAAGAGATCAATTGGCATTGGTGTTAAGTAGAGTCTTTAATGTAAACTTTGCTTCAAAACACCTATACATTTTTTTAAACTAAATTAAGTTTGTTTCGGAAAATCACTTTTAAAAATTTCAAAAAAAATTTTTCGAAATAAACTTAATTTAATAATGAATAATGATCCAATGACACCAGTAACAAGATCTGAAACTACGAATGATGCGATTTTTACACGGTACCTACCTAATGTACAATCAAGAACTTACATATCTTATTTTAGCTATCATAGACCAATAATATCACTTTTCCAAAAGAAATATCTACAGACGTATATGGAAATTAATGAATTAGAATAAGTTCATTCTAATTCTTTGTTTTTTTATATTTTTCTAGATAAAAAAACTATATAGAGTCTAAAGGATGTACCCCACACCTATCACAATTAAATTTTTCAGATTGTCATATTTATTTTCAAAAAATAGACAAACATTCTTATAAATGTATGGGATGCTATGTATGACCTCCACGCGGTGCACCCCGGGTAATGCTAACAATATATCGAAAAAAATCTACGAGCAATGAGCCTCGATTTAAATATGTCGTTAGCTGTGATGAACACGAACTGTTATTCCAACCTGTCGGTCACGTCCAGGGACGGATTGGCAATTATTTTCGGCCCAAGAAATATGAAACAAGCCAGCCCATGAACCACAAATTAAAATATTTACCCCTCCCCCTCCAAAAAAAATGCTTTATTTTGCATCCATTTCAAAAATTGTTTAGTTTCACTCCTAAATTAGTAAAATTTACAATAACTTTACTATAATTATAGCCATAATAGTTTTAGGTCATATGATTAATCAGTTCCAACTTGAAGTTCTAACTTTGAATATATATTTATTTTTTAATGACTTTTATTTATTTTACAAAATAAAACTTCTTTTTGGTAATTATATAATAATATAGAGCGGCCCAAACAAGGACCGGCCCATCGGGAAGATTCCCGATTTCCCGATAGGCCAATCCGCTCCTGGCCACGTCACTAATTTTTTTCTCGTACCCGTAATAAGTAGTTTCATTTCATACGCGCGTACTTGGAACACGCACCTTTTTTTTTTTTTTGTATTCATTCTTAAAATTTTAACTGTCAAATTATAATATATTCTCTCATATGATATAGACATTTTTTAATATTTGTATGTCTTAAATACTGAATGTTGAGTATGAAAATCTTTGAGTTAGAATTATAAAAAATAAAATGCTTTATTTCAATTTAACTATATATGTATAACTTACAGTTATTTTTGTTCAACATCTACTTACGAGTGTCTTAATATATCATTGTCTTTATATTTATTTTTTTCTACTAACCCATATTTACTTGATTTTGTAAAATATTATTTGTATATTCTTATCCAAATCATAACTTTTATGTTTTAAATTAAAGTTTTTTAATGTTATTTAGAATCGAGGTAGAGATATGGATATGAATGTTCAAGGTGCTTGGGAAGAAGGAATTACAGGAAAAGGTTCAGTTGTCACAATATTAGATGATGGTTTAGAAAAAGATCATCCAGATTTAATTAAAAATTACGTAAGTTTCTTAGAGTATAAACTATGATTTTGATTAATTTAATGAGTGTTATAAGTATACAAATTAATTAATAATTTGTTAATATAAAAATTATTTTAATAGGATCCTTCAGCTAGTTATGATATGAACAATAGAGATGAAGATCCAATGCCTAGATACGATCAAATGGACACAAACCGTCACGGTACTAGATGTGCAGGAGAAGTAGCAGCATCTGCCAATAATTCTCTGTGCTCAGTTGGTATTGCCTTTGGAGCAAGTATAGGTGGTGTTCGAATGTTAGACGGGGATGTTACTGATGCAGTTGAAGCTCGGTCTCTTAGTTTAAATCCTCAGCATATTCATATATATAGTGCGTCATGGGGTCCAGATGATGATGGAAAAACTGTAGATGGACCTGGTGAATTAGCTACTCGTGCTTTTCTTGAGGGTATATCTAAAGGTCGTGGTGGTAAAGGATCAATATTTATATGGGCATCTGGAAATGGTGGCCGTGAACATGATAATTGTAACTGTGATGGATATACAAATGCTATTTGGACATTAAGTATAAGTAGTGCTACACAAAATGGTCATGTTCCTTGGTATTCAGAAGCTTGTAGTTCAACTTTGGCTACTACGTACAGCAGTGGAAGTAATTATGAAAGTCAGGTAATATACAGATTTATCTACAACATATTTGAATATATTTCCATTTATTAAATATTATCAATCATAGATTATTACTACAGATCTTCATCATGAATGTACTAGTAATCATACTGGTACATCAGCATCAGCACCACTAGCAGCCGGAATAGTAGCATTAACATTAGAAGCTAACAATAAACTAACCTGGAGAGACATGCAACATATTGTTGTATTAACAGCGAGACCAACTCATTTATTAGCTACTGATTGGGTTATTAATGGTGTTGGTCGAAAAGGTGTGTATTTAAAGTAAAACTATATTAATTATATAACTATAGAAGTCAAAGTTAATGGTATTGTTATTGATGTGTTGAACTTCTTTAATTGGAAAAACCGTGTACCGAATATTTTGTTTTCAACACCTAAAATACCTTTGATTTTGGCCAGTGGCATACTCAAGGGAGGGGGGATAGGGGTGATACCCCAAGGAAATGTCAAGTGTATGTATATTGTTTATTGATTATAATGAAAACGCACAAAATTTAAAAAAAAATTGAAAGTTACATTTTTTATAACCCCCTCCCCTAAAAAAAAAAAATTTGGATACGCCACTGATTTTGGCTACACCTTCGATACCAAAGATCATGACAAAATATATCATGAATAGATTGTTAAAAAATAATATGAATACTGATAGAATGATAAAAAATATTAAAATATACTTAATAGTTAATAAATTATAATAAGATTTTCATATTATTACTCGTATTTATAAAATAAACTAAATAGATTAAATTAAGTATACACTATAAAGATTAAATGCGAATCAACAATATGTACATATTTATGTTTGTATTTTATGATAAACACTTTTATTCTGTGTACACTATATACAATATAAAATTAAAACAAAACAAATAAACTACTCTATATTGGTAGGCGAGCCCAGATAGGAATAATTTTGGGCCCGGGACCAAATAATTGTAGAGGCTTATATTAATGAGTAATAACTAGGGCAAATGCATCATTTATATGCATTTGCATGTTTTTTCCTTAAGTTTATATATATATGTTTATCGACTGTTAGCTTTCTTAATTACTTTTGTAACATAAAAGTACCGATTAGATAATTTGACTCTTAATATAATTACTAATATATATTAATAATACATGTGGCTCGTGTACATAGTCATGTTGGCCACCCCTGTAATATTGCTAATTTTTAATGGTATTTATTTAATGAAAGTTTATTTTTCTAATCGTTATAAATATACTACTTATGTAATCTTATCTTGATTGGACAACCGATATAATTATTCACGTATTATTTAACGATGTACTTATTAGAGGTCTGTACTGACCAAAAATGTTAGGTCCGACCTGGTCCGGATTTTCTTCTGATTATAAGGCCCGTTTCACTGCCACGTGTATCGTCTGCGCTGTTTTCGAATTACACTATTTAAGTTGAAAAACGCCACGTAGGTATGAACGTTCGGTTAAGAAATAGGCCTAAAGCCTTAAAAATATTTTTCAAAGGCCAGCAGGCCCTAATAAATGTTTTATCACCAAAATTGAACTTGGCATTGGTTAAATAGAAAATACTGAATATCGATATTAAGTACCAAATAGTAAAATTGTATTCTTAACTGAATATTAATAAAATACGCTGAATATTCAAATAAAATTTAATCACAAAATATTAGATGAATAGGCTGGATACCAAATAACTACTGAATATTTAGTCCATGGGCTTTTAATTAGTTTATAGTAATTTAACTATAAACAGTTAACTCATAGTTTATTATTTTTATACTATAATAACTTTATGTATAATGATAGAATTAAAAATATATTCTTCTTTCTTAATTTAATATTTTTGTTTTTAGTGAGTCATTCTTTTGGGTTTGGCTTAATGGATGCTACTGAAATGGTAAGATTAGCTCGTAGATGGAAAACTGTCCCAGCTCAACATATTTGTAATGTTACTGCTCAAGTTTTTGAAAAGTATGTTTTAGAAAATAAATTTGTATTTTTATAAAAATTATTAATTTATCATATTATTTTATTTTAGACTAGTGCCTGCACGTAGTTCAGTTACAATTCAACTTTTAGTAAAAGAATGCAATAGTGTTAATTTTTTAGAACATGTTCAAGCTAAAATATCATTATCAGCGAGTCGACGTGGTGATATCAAAATTGACTTGACCTCTCCAAGCGGTACTAAATCAACACTTCTTGCTCCAAGAACTCAAGATAATTCACATACGGGATTTAATGTTTGGCCATTTATGACTGTACATATGTGGGGAGAACGGCCTTTTGGTATATGGCAATTGACTATTCACAATGAGGGTAAACTATTAGGTAAGGTATTAGTATTTATATTTATTTTCTAACATATTAACTGCTATTTTCATGATTAATATATGTATTATCAATGAATATTTCTAAATGCTTGGTTGAGGGTGTTGGAATAATAATGAATATTAATTGTAATATATATATATATATATATATATATATATATATATATATATATATATATATACGACTTCAAAGTTTTTTAACTATAACAATTCTATGACTACTAACAAATTGATGTGCTTTAGGTCGATCTTCTTTACACGAGTGGTGTTTGATATTATATGGTACTAAATATTCTCCAAGGATATTATCTCCTCCTATTTATCCTTTAGAACATTCTCTCAAATCTAATACACGTAAAAATTCTAAAAATTCAAAAAAAAAATCAAAAAAAGGTAAAGTCAAAAAACAGTCTACCACTCCAGTTAGTACCTCTAGAAAACAAAGCGTTTCCAGTTATAAGCCAAATGTTCATTTTGTCTTATTTCCTAACAAAAATTCCTCTAAAATATCTCCCACTCTAACAGACAACATCCAAACATACCCCAGCAGCCATAGACTCTACAGTTTACAAAATGTGGATGGCAGGCCGGCAAAAAAAAATTTGTCTCCTGAAAGAAATATATCGCCTACAACTACAGGCAAGGATGTCTGCATGGAAATCAACATTTTCTTTGCATGCCATGTTGTAATGTAATAAAATAGGTGTTTTAAATTATTTTGCTTATTTTAGTAAAATAAATCTCTTTCATTTTTAGCACATCATAGGGTAATTTAGTAATTTATTATATTTAAATATGTATTATACTATGTATACTAAGTGATTTATTAAATTTTTTTGTTTTGTTTTTAGTTAAGATATAAGTATAATGCTTGTCAAATTTTGAATATGGTGTACAGTAGTTACCAGACCAAATCTTTAATATTCTAGAAAATCAAATTTTTATTATGAAATATGAGAATTTTATAAGAAGTAATTTATTTTGAATTTTTTTTAATCAACTGTCCAAATTCTTAAATACTTTTTATGTTCCCCTATAGTTCTACGGAGCGCACTTTGATAATTATTGTAGTTATTTTTGTTATAATTTCATTGCACTATTGTTTTGCATTAAATAAAACAATTAATTTGCTTGCATAATTAATAACCAACACTTACATAATTTTAAGTTTTTTCACATCGAAATATAATATTTCAATGAAAACCGTTTTAAATGAAATGCTTTATTTTAGTCATATTAAATTATGGTCATCATATACTAATTAGTGACATTTATAATATTAATACTGAGAATTTACCATATATTTACGAGTAAATAAATCATTTGCATTGATTATTATTATAAAGTACTTTTATTTATTTTAATGCAAACATTTGTTTGAGAGTAAAATTATTTTTTATAATATACAAATACATTTTCAATAGTATATATGGTAAATATTATTTTTAAGTAGATAATCAATTAAAATGTTTAGTACAATTTATCAAAAATACAATATAGATTAATTTTAAATCCAGAATCTATAAAAAAATTCTTGTAATAAAATTATTTTATAACAGACAGTCAAAAATGATATTTAATATATAAGAACATTTTTTTGCTTGCTAAATCCCTCAAGTCTTACCATATTTGTATCTATGTTTAGTTTCTTATTTTTTTTTTTATTTATTTTTTTTTTTTTTTGCTAATATTGTATATTGCTAACAAACTATAGTTATATGATTAATTAATATTTATTTAATTCAGCTTACTTTTTTATATTTTAGCTGCTAATATCACTGACTGGGAGATGGTTTTTTATGGAACTATTTTACCTCCAGAACAATCACATTCGTTTCCAACACTAGTGAGTATTAAACAAAACCAAACATCAGGAAAATCATCAAAGAGTGGAATCAATTCTGGAGAATGTCGTGTGACCACCACTAAATGTTTAGGTTTGTTGTTAATATTAAGTACAATATTAATCCCTGGCAGTTTTTAACAGGGTAAATAAAATAAAATTACAAGTTTAAGTCTTCCCGTAAAAGTGCCATATAAATTGCTTCAGGGCTTAAGATTGTTAAGGCTTACAGATGACCAATATAAATTATTTTTAATTATATTATAGTACATCCATGTTTGTTAAATTTTTTTGATTTTAGAAGTCATGAAAGTATTTTAATTTTCTTTGGTAAAAATGTTTACTAAATAGTTAGTATATCAAGTTTGAATTGTATTCAACAGTTTTTGTAATTTTATTGAATGCCTTATTATTATTATATTTCATACAAGTACTGGAATTATAATTTAAAAATTGATAAGACTCATTGATCATTTCCTTTTTTATTGTCAAGTCATTTTATTTAAATTTGAAAATTTCATATTTCTACAAGCCTTAACATTTAAAATATTTTAGCCTATTCAATTTTAATAATTATTTCATTTTCGGTATTTGTTATCTTGACCACTATGACTATGAGTCAGACAAGTTTGAACATGATAGAAAAATTAATATTAATTGAGTTATCATGCTATAATTAATTAATTAATTTTTATTGTTAATTTATTAAATTCTTGAGTATATAGATAATTAATCATTTTAAGTTAAGAAATTAAATTTACAACACATTTTGTCTAAAACAAACAGGAAATGTTTGGTAGGTTTTAAATATTTTCCCAAAAATAATAATCTAATAAAACAATTTTAAATTGTTATAAAATCATATCCAAGTTATTAAAATACTGAATTCTAATATGTATTTTAACTCCATATAAATACTTAAATCCCCATATAGGAAGCACCATAATCAAAAAGATATATATATAATATAATTTATGTTTTAATATCTGTATCTATACAAAAATTATCGATCTATATTATATGCAATGATATATCAAGTATTTTACATAAGCTGTTATTTTCTAAGCTTATAATAATAATCAATATAACAAAATTATAATATATAGTAAGCTGGCTAATATTTTGGTGGTCGGGATAACAACTGCATTTACCTATTTACAACTGATATCAATATGTTTTGTTTCAATACATATGAAGGTTGTTAATTATATATTGTAAATATTACTGAACAAAATGAAACTTTTAGTTTCTTCATGTATTAAATTTTAAATTATTTAATTTTTTGTAAAAGAAAATTGCACATAACTTTAAGATTATTTAATTAGGTTAATTTTACTATTTAAATAATTTAAGTTAAATTATAGATATGAATTAAGGAATTGCAAAATATCTACTGCCAAAGTGTTTTTTACATGATATCTTTTACAGAAAGTAAATTGTATTCTTGTTACATTCAATGTTTACTATAATTTAAGTCTTAATAATATGTCATTGAAAATAATTTTTCATAATATTTTTTATAGATTATATATCTACTTTAATGGTCATAGATTATTTTAATTCTAGTTTGTTAAAGTATTTGAAATATGCTTATATTTAAAAATATAATTAAAATCCTTATGTAAGCAAAGCCTAGTAAGCATTTACACTCAGTTTTATATTAATATAGTTATCTCTTTTAAGATAAAAATAAAAAATTAAAAAGAAAGAAATTTTTCCTGTCCCTTAATAATTTTAGTTCCTGCTATTATGATCATACAGATAAATTATAATTCAATTATAGGCATACATTTTTCCACTCAAAATATTCCATTGCAGCTATATCTAATGCAGGTTTTCAATTTCTACTTAATATTTATTAAATAAAGTCATTTTTGCCTGTATTGGCAAGCAAATATGACTCAAATGGATTTATACAATGTTTTTCAATATATTATTAATTTTTTTTCTACCTAGTTTAAATTACTTTTAATTTCTTTTATTATACTATATTCTTCCTATTCTGATATCTGGTTATGTGTTTCTTACCACTTATCCTAGCTCTATTTTTGCTCAAGGTGCTATATAGTTTAAATTTCTATTTCTTTATTAATAGCTTTTATCTGTCATATGGTATATTTTCTGCCTATTTTTTTTATTTATAATGCGGTAAATTGTAAAATTTCTACTATCATAACTGTTGTGATCAAAGCAGAATAATGATAATGTTTTTATGGTTAGTTATTAAACTTAAATTTACTTAGCTTATAAATATATATGTATAAAAATAAGCGTGAGTTTAAATTTATTTTGTAATTAAAAATTTTTTGTTATATCTTAAACTTCATTATACCCACTCAGGGGCGCCGAAAACATTATGAATGGTCTGGTCAATAGCTACCCTATTTACAATTTAAAACCCACCCCACCTGAGGATGTACTTTAATGGTTTGAAATTTCACCCTCATTCAATATTTTTAATCTATTCTAGCATTTATTATAGCATTAAGGTACTTAAACTTCTTAAATAGTAATTATTAAATGGACAGTATTATAATTTATAGTCAATTGGACTAATTCATTTATTACTAGTATACTTATTCACCGCGGCACCACCCACCACCCTAAAATATGGTCTGAAAAAATCCAAACTTCAACTCCTTATTTGGCACCACTGTTCCCACTTATATTCACTATTAAATGTCTCCTCCGCATTATTTTACTTCAACTATTGTGCTTGGCGAATTAATTTTCACATTTTTTATGTAAACATATACATACACTTAAATTTTACTAAAATTTCTCTATGATACTATATGATACGTATGAGCATCAAACATTTTATTGTTGTTTGGTTAAGTATACTTTTTATCTCAGTGCATATAATATGTAAATTATTTTCATCACAGTAAACAAATTCTCTCTTAAGTTTAAAGTTATTTTAATATAAAATAATACTATCTTAAAAATAGTAGGATTTGAACAGTTGTTCTCATAGTTTATCTATTTAGTTACAATTTTGTTTTCTTATTTATTATTAATCTATCTGTGATAAAATTACAAAAAAAAATTAGTATTTAGTATAATATTTAGTTTTTTTATTATTTTAATTAATTTCAACTATAGTATTTCCTTGGTATGTATTATTAGGTAGTTTACTGATTTAAAATTAAGATAAAATAGTTTTATCAATATTTATGTTATTAATAATATAATAATAATGGTGCTCTTGTTATTGAATTGTAGAATAGTTTAATAATTGATAATCGCCGAGAAAACAATCTAATTGTACAAACTGTATTAATATCACCATCATTTTAAAAATAGATTGAAAAATAAGTATAATTCCTTTATCTTTTATTTTTTATAACTTGATTTTATCTTTGAAATAAGATAATTATATTTTGTCTTTAAAATCATAATACATTTTATTATATGTTAAGAAATGATTATTTAATCAAATATTATTAAATATGTAGTTAAATCTTTATATTTTACAGTTTGATTAGTGTTAATAAAAGTATTTTCCTTAAAATAATAAGGAACTTAGAAGAGACTTAAATGTACTTGAACAATTATTTATTTTAAATTGAACAGTTTCTTTGATTTCATAAATTAGAATTATATTTATAAAACATTTAAATGTTTGTTTGATTCCATTTAGTTTATTAGTTAAATAGTTTAAATACCCATGTAAATTTTTTATCAATTTCTCTATGTATATTTTAAATATATTTAAGGAATAATCTATGATAATTTTAATAATTATAAATATTATTAAATTTTAATTTGCTTTATTAAAGTATCATGGAATAAAAAATGTAATAATAATAATATGTCTATATATAGTTTTCATTATTTTTAAACTTTGCAAATAACATTTAGTTGTATACTGAAATTGTAACTTAAAATTATTAAGCAATATACAATTTGTACAGATATATTAACTGAAACTCCTAAACACTATAATATACATTTTTAAAAAATGTGATATTTTAAAATTTGAAAACATGTCCTTTACAAATGAATTAAAAACAAATATATGTATTTATTGAATGTATGTAGAGATTAGAAATAAATTTAAGAATCAGTGTGATATATTTTTAATTCTGTATTATAGTATTTTTATAAATGAGTTATGTATTTTTAAACCTACAATTATACTTTCTGTAAAAGGTTCATGAAATATAAATGTAAATATTCATGCAATAAACTTTGATTATTTATTAAATTTATGATTTGGTTTTAATTGATTATTAATGATTATAGTGTTAATAATATCCACATTTATTGGTCCATTTCTATAATAATAATTAAAATGTTGTCATTATATTTTAATTTAAATTATATTTCAAACTTATTAGCCAAAACTATATTTTTTTTATCTTATTATATGGGTTAAATATTTATTAAATATAAAAGTTAAATTTTATACATAATTAAATTGGCTTAAAATGTGCTTTTCATTTCCTATCAACAAAAATAAATTGATTTTAAAATTATATGGAATAAAATTTAAATAATTAAAAGGAATATGATCTATAATTTAAAAATCAGTTTTAAAAAATAAAGTTCTCTTATATAATTTATAAACAATAACTACTTTTTTCTTTTATTTGTTGAAAAATATAAAACTTAAAAATAAATCCATTGAATTTTTTATATGAACTTTATAAATTCAGAATATATTTTTATCACATAGCTACGTTCCCGAGTCCATAATAAGTATGCCAAATTCTTAACATTTTTCTCCTTTGTACATGTATCAATGAATCATAAAATATATTTGTTAACCTACTAAGCACTCATTTTATTGAATTAATTAAGAAAACTATCTAAATTCATTGTCCAAATATTAAATTAACACATGCCTCTTCAAACATGACTATTTTAACAAAAATATTGATTTAGTATTTGTTTGACAATTTTTACACTTGAATAAAAACTGGGAATAAAAAAAAAATTTAATTTTGTTAAATTTAATTATTGGAAGACTAAACTATTATCAAATTCTTTCAGTAACTGAACAATTTTAGTCCAGATGATTTTTATTATGCTTAATATTTTTATTGATTGATATTCATTGTGTTTATTTCATTAAAAAATAACAAATTTAATAATTTTAAGTTATAATTGAGTAGTTTAGTATTGATTTTTTTTTTTTTTTTAATACATTTATGTAATTTAATTTTAAACGCTCAATGGTATTATTGTTTAACTATTTATTTTATGTTAGGTAAAAAAAACTCTTAAAAACTCTCTTTATACTTAACCTATTAAATATTTTTAATTTTGTCTTTAAGTTTATTTTGTATAAAAATAATCTGCTTACCTTGTAGTAAGTAACATTGCATTATAAATAACAAAATTAACTTATTTTTAAGACTAACTGTTCTATAAAATTTAATGAGTTTTTATTATATTATCAAATTATAATATTGGTTTTGGTGTTTTAATAAGTGATTATTTAATTGTAACATGATTTTTTACTATATTTCCTTTTTCAGGTGTATGCATATTTTCATAATTTTTTTTTTTTATTTTACTCATTAATTTTTTTATCTTATGGCTAAATAATTAGATGTTGGTTGTGAAAAATTTTTAGTAGCATCAATTAGATTGGAGCTATGTTAGGGAGACAGGGGTATTAACTCTAAAAGGATCAGTCCTGAAATAATAACCGCTTGTAGTCGAGGTTCAGACTATTGTTTGTTACTTACACTACTATGCTTGACAGTATGTCAACATACCTATTCAGCTACTCCATTCTAATTTTACGTTGATTTTGATGAAGACATCAAATTGGAATAATTTGATGAAGACTTGTTTATATTAGAAAAAGGAAATATTATATCAATCCACAACACTTTAACCAATTAAATTTGATCTATTTTTATCAATTTAATATTTCCAGATTTGTATTATTAAATATTAATTATTATATTTCTATGTATATATATTACACTCTCTATATGTATATATTTAATAAATATATTTATTGGGTGACACACAGATTTACTAATTTAAATAATGTGGGGTTAATGACATTATATTAATCAAATACCACTTTAAAATAGTAAATCTTTGTGTGATACCTTGTATAATATAAATACCAAAGTATGTTATGCTCAAAAATGTGTTTATATTGTAAATAAAATTATTATTATAATATAGTAGTATGTATTTTTTAGGAATTACTATTTTGTGTTGTTTTTAAAAATTTTCAATAAATTTTATTGAATAACATTTTCTTTCACCATTTCATACCTTAAATTATAAATAAATAGTACAAATAAGTTTAGATACTATAGTTCATACTTTGTATGAAAATTATAATTTCATCATAAAATATTTGTAGATTATGACTTCCTAATATTTTATTTGTTTAATATTTATAAAATTAACCTTTTATTTATTTTTCTTCTGAAGTTTCTACTATAGTAGTGTTTTACATTTGTTTATTGGGTATTTAATTATTTTCTCATAATACTATTGTGCTTAATAAATATATATATTTTTTATAACAATCTTATTTTTTTCCTATTTAACTCAATCAACAGTTAATAGAATATATTATTCAAAAATCAGATTACAATTTTGTATACATAGTAAATTGTTCAATAGAAACTTATAATATTTAACAAAATTACTGTCTTAAATCAATAAATGATGTTTTTAATTATATTTAGGGTTATATATAGGAATTTTCTACCTTGAGACAAAAAAATAACAAGATATGTTAGGGTTAACAAATTGAAAATTTAAAAAACTAGCCATCCTTGTAACATCTGCCGTCCAAGGCAACAGACCACTCTTTCACCCTTCTGCCCTAAATACAGCCTTGACAGTTAAAAAAAGGTTACATAAAAATTCCTATAAATGTATGTCTTTGGTTAGTATTGAAGGATGAGGAATATTTAAATTTTTGAATATAAATTAATAATAATAATTCATTTTAATTTTACTATAGTATATATTATTAAGCAATTAAAGAAATAAAATTTATTATCATGAGTTTGTGAAATTATGTCATTTTTTATTATATCTTTGAGTATTATTTGATAGTGTAGTATAAAGAATATCATTTACACTTTACTAATTTATTTTAACATTGCACCATTTTAATATGTTTATCTTCTATTTTTATAAAAACAAATCAAAAATATTAATCACATCTATGAGAACCTAAAACTAAAAGTGCTAGTTTGTAATTACAATTCAAATAAAATAGGCTGTATTGTTCTAAAATTCAATCAGACACTTGTGATGAGTGTATCACACAGCTTTGCTTCTAATTTGCACTCAACAAAATAAGCTAATTTTAATTATAGCTTTATAACTAAATCCTTTGTATTATAGAAATTAGTGATTATAATTTATTTGCAGAATGTTCATATGGATTTAACATATACAATGGGGAATGTACAGCTAATTGTCCAATTAGAACATATAAAGAAAGAGATGGTATTTGTTCAGATTGTCATTATACATGTTATCAATGTAATGGACCAAATGATTATCAGTGTACATCTTGTTGGGGAGATGCAGATTTAACTCAAACTTTGGGTCAAACCTTTTGTTACTCAAAAAATATCAAGAGATTACTTGATGATAAGACATGGCATACTTTAACGGTAGTTTTACTGATTATTAATATATTTTTATTACTTATATTTTGTAATGGTGGGTTTTGGACTAAAAATAATATTAGTTTAAACAAAGGAAATTACAGACTAGCTAATCAAACCGAAAATGATTGTTGTTGAAAACATTTTATGACATTGTTCCATATGTGTTAAACTTACTTAACTTAATTTTATCTTGATTAAAAAAAAAAGTAAGGAAAATAATTTAACTATGACTAAGATAATTATTGTTCATAATGGTCTTGATCAAATTGTTTTAAGTTAATGTTTTAAAAATAGATTCTTGTCCATTAGTACATAATTTAATTAATTTTGTTAACTATTGAATATATAATATACTTTATTGTAAAATGTGAATTTAAATATTTTATTTATTATTTTTATATAATATACCTTCTTATTTATATTAAAAACAAATTAGTTAGACAATTCCAAGCCATGTGCCCATTTTTAAGGAACAACTTTTTTTATAAAAAATTTGAAGTGTGATTGACTCAATGTTTTGATTATAAATATAATTATAAAATACAATTAGATTATATTATTATTTATAAATTATTTAACATTAATGTTAAGAACTATTATTTTAATGATGTAATAAGTAGTATTATTCTATATAAATAGGAATTTTAAATTCTTAATTTAATTATTGACAGATCTCTCACACGCAAATATTATTGTCAAATATATTTGATATATTTTTATATTAAGCAAGCAGGCAAGTCATCTAGACCAAAGAAGAGCTATGTGGGTCAGTTTATGTTGCCTTTGGCTTTATATTTATCCTAATATGTAGTAAAAAATAACAGGATTCAAAACTAATGTTGTTAAAATTAGTAGAGTCTATGTATACACGTTTATTTTAAAATTAAATAATTCAATATTAGCTTATAATTTTTATTCTTTGACTGGTAGGAGAAAAATGCCATGAGTCCGCATTAGTGCCTCAGATCTATCTAAAAATATGTATATACAGGGACGTATTTTAGGATGGCAAAGGGGGCAATCGCCCCCCCTTCTGAATCTGTATTTAAGGAATCAATTATACGAGTATGTGAGGTACACATTACAATTTTTTTTAATGTGGACCATTTTATAATGAAATAAAATTACACGTGCCTGTGAATACTGAATTGGTATTTTTGTCGGGGCATACTTAGTGAAAAATCAAATGAAACAGAAGTGTAACTTTCAAAACACAGACAGGTGTTAAAAAGAACTACACAAAAGTCGATTCTAAGGGAATCCGACATGAGATTAAAAAAATCCACAAATATTAAGGATTCACCCGATTTAAATATTACCAAAATTTTACTTGTAAATTTTAAGCCTGAATTTAAAAAAAAATGAGTCCCCCCCCCCCCTTAATTGAGTCTAAATACGCCACTGTGTATATATAAATAAATATTGTATAAATATATAAACATATAATATATGTTATGTATATTTTAATAATTAATAGCTAATAATAAATAATGTAGATTAATAAAATTATGCAAATGATGAGCCAGTAGAAAAATATTTCTTGAAGTTCAGAAACTATCAATCCGGCATTGCATAGAAATAAGTATTTTCAATATCAATAAAAGTTATTTAATTTATAAAGAAATTTAAAATTATCTATTTATAAAATAAACCAACTTTATGTCAATAATGTTTATCAATGAGAGTTGTCTATAAAAAAAGGATTTACTTCGTAATGTATTTTAGACACGTTTCATCAAGTACATATGTTACTGATAAATTATTATACTAAAATAAAATATTATTGTTTATGATTTGCATGTGGAAGTGTAAACTAACTACTAATGAAACGTGCTTTTTAAAAGGTCAATAAATACTTATTTCAGGGATAAATATATGTATACGTATATTGACGACTTCAAAAACCGCACATTTTATAATGATGTATAATTTATTATTTATTATTTATACTACATATTTATTCAAAAACAATTTATTGAGCTACAATGTATGTAGACATTGAAAATTTTAAAAAAATTTATAAAAGTGTTAGTGGTTAAAATTTTTTTGCCGACGTTTTTTAAAAAAATTAAAATATAAATAAAAAAATAAAAATTACTTCCTTTATTACTATCTTCTTTTTCTTAGGGTTTATTGGGCCTTTAAGACCATCCAGTCTCACAACCTTTATTACTATCAATAATTTTAAAATCTATTTATAAAAATACTTTTTTTTTATAATACGAGTATATATATATATAAACTTTACGTTGTATGACGCGTTTCAGTCAACAAATGTACTGGTTATTTTTCGAGCACATCAACGTGCGATAAGATAAGCTTATATATATATGTAACAATTAACTTTAAAATTATATATGCAACATTCGTCTATACAAAATACACTATTATTAATACATTATATAGTGAGGTTTTTACCCACTATAAGTATGCGGTATTTGGCTGTACGATACTTACCTGACAATCCTTAAAGTGTGCAGTTTTTGTCTACCAACCATTTTTGAGTTAAAATCAAATGTGTGCGGTTTTTGGATGCAATAATATTTATAATAAGCATTGTAAGATGTATATTGTTACAAAAAAAAAAAAAATGACGCGTCAAATATTTGTGAATAATATTTCACTATTTTTTAATCTTAAACATTTGATAACTAAACATATCCAGCCTTAACTCTTAACTAGTAAATATTAATATTAAAAGTTGTAAAAACTATTTTGAGTACATGATTATTTTCAGTGGCATATGTGGCATATCTTACTTATTAATTATTAAAAAGAGCCTGGAAATATCTTAATACTTATCTTCAATATAACTTGCAGTGTTACATTAGTATTCATTATATTAATTAATGTGTAACTACTTAAATGCATATCTAAGATAGTTAACTCGTGAGATTAAGTTTCCCTGAGAAAAATCATCGGACTTGAGTAAAATACTTTTTAAGTATTTCGAATACTTATTCTGAATAGGTACTTCAAAAAATTATTCCAAATATATTTATTTTTTCAATTCGATATTTATTCATTAACAAAATAATGTAGTTGATAATATACACGTGTAGTAGTTAAAAATTATATCAATTTAAATTGTAATATTGTGATAGTTAGTTATGTTTATTATACGGGTTGCGGGTGTCTATAACCATTAAGAAACATGAAAAAGATAGAAGGGCTTCAGCATCCCCAGTTTTTTCATTGAAATTACGCCCCTGCCTAAAACCTCGCTGCGTGAGTAAAACCCAGAATCGACATTAAAATTGTTTGTAATTTTTCTTGCACATCGAATATTTAGTGCTGTGAAACGGACTATATGTACTAATATAACCTCATTATTAAATAATTATTATACCGATTGCAAAAAAAATTCCAAAAAAATTGTAAAAAATATTTTCACTGGTTAACTTTAACTGGCTACGGTAATGAACCCGTAATCTTTATTATATGGTGGTTCCGCGTTACCAATTGCACCAATACAACAATAAAAATGTGTTTAAAAAAATAGATAAAAACTATCAAATTTCAATAGGCTGTTACTTTCAAACTAATCGGCTGCCCCAATTTTCGTTTGCACCATCGTTTTCAGCGTTAAAAAATACCTAAGTTGACATAAAAAAAAATCCGAAATTTTGGGTGCCCGGTAAAGTAGAAATATACCCATAAAATACATACATCGTACTTTTACTCATTATATAATAATTTAAATTTAATTTTGAGTAATTAATTATCCTTAATTACGCCTTTAAAATAAATATTTATTTAGTTAATTATTAATTTACTAAAAAAAAAATCAAACAAATTAACATGATTTTTACAATTTTAATCATTTTTATTAACAATTTTTAATAACTATCTAATAAATGATTCAACATTTAGTCCATCATTCTCCATGCATGATTGAAATTGATACATTTCAAATAATTATCTAATACATTTGAACAATTTATCATATAGTTATTAGAAATTGTTTTACCCAATTAAATAATAGAAATGATTAAAATTATAAGAATTGTGTTAATTTGTTAATTTTTTTTTTAGTAAATTACTAATTTTAACTAAAATTTATGTAAAAGACGTAATTAAGGTTAATTAATTTCTCAAAATTAAATTTAAATTATTTAATGATATTTGAAAACGGCGTAACTTGGACATTTATTAGGAGGGGGAGGAAAATATATAATTACATATTTAATGAAAAGGGTGTTCGCAGCCAGGGTTGGACTAGCTTTATAGCTCGGCCCGGGCAAAATAATTTCGAACGGCCTCAATGGAACTTTATAAGTAGGTAGGTACCTGATCAAATTATTGTTTAACTAAAAATGTATCTTCGTAACTCAAAAAACAATATTCACACAAGTACATTTGAATATTTTCAGATTTAATGTTATACCTTAAATAAATCTAGTTACGCATAATATATCTTATCTATAATATTGATATAATGACCTACCTATTAAGATAAACTTTATACAATAAAAAATGATTTGATTATAAATATGTTTATACATTTAATTTTAATTGAGCTAGAACAGTGGGTTCTGATTGCCTGTACCCACTAGATCAGTGATCTTCAACCTTTTTCGACCAGCGACATTCTTTTCTTACCAAACATTTTTCGCGACCTATGCCAACTTCGTTAGTCATGAAAACCAGATAAAAAGTTAAAATTGCTTAATTTATGTCACTGTAGAAGTGCTTTTATAATTGAATAAATTAATATATATACATAAATACATATTTATCTAGGTATCTAGGTAATATTTAATTTTTGTTATAAGTTATGATACCAAAAAAATGCATGTAATGATACCGAAAAAAGTATATGTTATAATACAAAAAAAATGAGTGCGATATTTGTCCCGAACTTTTTTCACACGAAATACCTCCACCTCAGCTCAATTTCACACAATTTAATAGATTTAACAAGTTAATATACATATGAAAAATAAATGAGTTGTATGGATTAAGTCTTGTTATCACTATACGATTACTTCATTTGATTGTTTATTCTTTTTTTTTTTTTTTTGAAAATGAAGGCTTAAACAGGAAATATTATTAGCTATTAGATGTTACAAATTAGATGAATTAGGTGTTAGATTTAATACTACAATATTTCATATGACATATTATATAGGTGAAGTAAGGTGTAAAATAAGGATTTACTAATAATATTTGTGATACTTAAGAATGTGACAATATTCAAAGTTTGTTTTTCGCTAAGTACTTTTACTGTGTTGGATGGCATTTTCAG